TACCTTTTGGCTACTACTACCGTTGTCCTACATCCCAGCGATATACTCCTGTGCTTGTAACGGTTCGTCACACTACCCATGGAATCTTCCTTCTTGTCAATGAGCGTGTTTGCCTACCGTTTCTACACGTGCCTGGTCTTGCCTGCGCTCATCTACCAGCGGAGCGGATACTCCCTTGCACCGCGCATCTTTATCTGGGGAAGTGTTCCAGGTACTATGTATATTGCTGCGTAACAAAATGCCTGGTTGCTGGGTTGGATCCGTTTCTAGTAGTTGATTCAGGCCGGAAAGATGTTATACTGTCCCATGGTGCGTCGGAGTTTGTTTGAGGTAGATCGCATAAGCTCTTTCCCCCGAGAAAATCGGATAGCGAAGGAATGCGTCTTCTTTCTGGGCGCCCGGGGGCGGCTGACTCGGTTCATTTCCCATTCGCTGCTTTCTCTGTTCTTCATTCCTGCCCGGCCTGTGGCTTCGACGACGAGATGTTGCATAAAAGGCTAGAGATATGCCTAGGACATGTAGATGCCTATGTATACAACGGTAACACCGGCCGGTATTAGCATCATGTGGTATACCCCCGAACGGTAAGTGTGTAGCCCATCCGAATGGACATCCGCTCTGGGAAGAGAGATGTAACCTCCCCTCCCCTCCGGAGCCCCGGCCGGCCAGTCCTCAAGCCATCGCCGATACACACTTGGGAAAGCATGGAGGCAGGACGGCCATGCGTTCATCGTTCTAACCCTGTTCAGTTATTTTCCGTAATGAGCTTTTGAGTGCCCACCGGTCTTGAGTGGTATCTTTCTTTTTTCCCAGTCCCACTTCTTTGTTTCGACCAACTCAACTGTCTGGTTGTTGAAAGACACCGCATTGGGCTTGCGCTATGCGCGGCTGCGCGGCTGAATGACAAGGCCACCCGATTCACGATTCATGATTTTCGGACCCCTCCTTTTGTTCCTCGCCGTAGATAACTGCCTTGTTTTTTTTTTTGTACATTCTTTGTTCAGCTTCATGGTCAATGAGCTGAGTTCTCTTCTGCCTTGGACTTCCGTCTTAGGGAGAAAGTTTTTGAGTTACTTTCTGTTGATTTGTTTTCTTGGAAGTTCGGGGTCCGCGTCACGTCCCATTTCCCGCGCCGGAAGACGCCGTGATGTGAGAAAAAGGCGCCAATTAAACCCTGCATGTGGCTAATTTAAATTATTTGCAGCCTCTTGGGTCTTTTTGGGATTTTGGGCGCGCCCCTGGTGCCTTGGCGGCATTTCATGTTTTTCTAGAATCTCGCTAGAATTTCTTGGTTCCATGCTCTTTTTGTTAGACGGCATGGTCTTTGCACTCTTTCGATTCATTTGGCCGGGTTTATGTTGGGTTTGTGCTGGGTTGATGTCAGATTCATCATGTTCAAATAAGATGACGGACGGAAAGCGCTCCCACACGGGGGAAAGTAGCTCGTGGCACCAACACCTAGCACCCGGGAATGAGCGAGATGTTGGACGCATGGCAGAAGTGTGGGAAGCATGGGCTGTTTTACCATTTTGGCGAAAACGTGTGTTGCTGTAGTGGTGTCGGAAGCGGAAAGTGGAAAGGGAAAGCTTGCGGAATTAAAGATTTGGTGTTTCACCACCCTGTTCGCCCTGTTAGTTGGGCTTGGTTTGGGAGTTTTGCGTGCAGCAGAAAACTTCGATAGATGGTTTGATGCTCAGAGGTGTCACAGGGGGGCCATGGAGAAACAGATGAGGGAAAGCATGGAAGACATGGAAAAGAAGAATGGTCGCAACAAGGGAAGGGGTCCATCCATCGTCATGGTATAGTTGCCGAACCGTGAACTGGGCGGTCCTGACTGTCCCCACGGTGTGGGAATCATGAACCGTTCCCGCGTCTTGTGAACCTTGTGGGGTTCCAATCCCGTTCAGCCGCCTTTCTTCTCAGGAGAGCCCGGCCCCCCGGGATGGTGATGGTGTTTTGTGGAGTTCTAATTTTTTGGTGTTTTCGTTGTCGTCCGACAGCGGCAGCGATGGTGAGATTTCGGGCGCATTTCTTAGCTGTAGTGTATCGAACTGTGGGCTCGGCCTTCTGAGCTTCTTTCACAGCGAACCGCTCCATCTCACACGAACTTCGCGCGCAGCAATCACGGCCATGTTCTTACCACATGCTCGGACACCAAACCACCTGGCAATGCTGCGAGCCCCGCCATGCACCGCTAACGCAGCTGCAATGCAGCACAAATGTCCGTGGTGTGGGGGTTTCCGTGTGGTGTGGCGGAGGCCATTTAAACCAAGTGCTACGTCCGTAGAAGGCCTGGACTCCGGTTAGAGTTGCGCCTTTGAAAGCCATCGAAGCTTTTTGGGTTGCAAAAAGACGTTTTGTCTTGTGCCACTTCACTTCAGGTTAGTTTTCTGAAGGGGCGGTGGACGAGAATAGCGGGGAGACGGGGAGAAAAGGGTGTTTTATGTTTCAAGAGATCATCTTTGGTGATCGCGATGTCATTCTCATCCAGGAGTTCCAGTGGAAGACGGCCGGTTATTAAAGGTGGATTTGTTGGTGGAGTGAGCGAACAAAGAGCCATTTCTTGGCTATAGTGGTCAGAGCGCCATTGGCTGAGACTATGTTGATAGGGCAGCGTGTTACCGAAGGAACTCGTCCTTCCAGGCACGAGATGCATCTTGATTCGAAAGCAGAGAACACAGTACGAAAAGTCGAGCACACGACTATAATCCTAATCGGATTTCTTTCTGAGTTTACCATTATGCGATTTTTGGGCATATCGACATGTTGCGTAAGATGGTCGTGGCAACTTCCCTTGGTAAATTGCGTAGGTTTATATCCATCCACCTGCCGGTGTCCGGGTCGTTAGGCAGAATCTCTTCCTTACCAACATCAATGTTGGCTTTCGGATCTGGCAACATGCAAGTTGGTGGTGAGGCTCTCGAGCTATGTGGATAAAGGTCGTCGTGTTTCGTGGCAGGGACGTGCCGTGCCTAGAAGCTGACTTGCATGCTGTGCCGCCGTCGAGAGTACCGCGAGATGGAAGTTCTTGGCGATGGTATCACTGACAATGATATCGATGGGTTAAAAATGTCCGGCTGTGCCCCTTCTTATAGTCGATATATAATCGTTGGCTGAGATGAGGAGACACAGTGGGGGTTGTGCCGTCTTTGGTGAAGAGCTGTGCATATGCCCATCATGTTCTGGTTGGAAATCATGATCTGAGGTTGGTGATCTTCCACCGCAGGATCCAGATCCCTTGGGCGGCCAGGGAGGCTAGAATAAGGCCCAAGGCTGAACCGCCGCGCTGGTTACGGTATGTATGCTGCTGTTGCCTTGTGGGCTGGCTTAGTGTATGTAATGCCTTCGAAACACGGGGAATGGAGGAAAAAAGGAAAGGGGAAAATGAGATAGCGAGAGTAAGACGAGACGGTCCCAGGGACGTGGATGAAGAGAACCGGGAACCGCGAGCTTGAAGCGGTCGGCTACTAACGAGTGCATGCCTGCAGCGTCGTAGGGGTAATTTGCAATGGTCCATCGAGAACTGGGGCTCATGGCACGACTAGGACGAAAATGTCTAGACGGCGAGATGGTGTCGACGCCCAAGCATGACCCAGATTATTACGTGCCTTGCTATCGTCGAGGTTCGCTCCAGGCATTGGTCGGATATTGAAATACCGATGTTCGTTGCGCACAAAGTCATCACACAAGAGTGAACCCCAAGTCGTATCTCGATGCCGTCTATTCGACAGACATTTGCCCGTGATTCCCTTCGTCCTCCAGAGCTGTCAAAATAATAGAGAAAGTGGACAAAGCGAGCCAATAAAGGCCCCGGCCCCCGTTGTGACTTTTGTGATATACAGTGTGGATGATGAACAAGCCTTGTACCCTCTCGGTTTGGCGCTGCGAGAACGGAAGTTGTGAGTCCGTTGGCCAAAAGTGTTAACGTCTTGCTTCTCGACCAATCAAACAGGCCACAGCCCTGCCTGCCCCAGGAACGAGCACTGACCATGAGCAACCCATCAGTCTCCTTTCCACTTGTGCGTCCGTGCATCGACGGGTCTTGGCTACCCCTTCAGGCCCTTGGAGCCATTTCCTTGCGACCTGTCGTCCAAGACAGTGTGAGAGAAGAAGACTGCAGCTCTCCATTTCGCGGCGAGCAAACCCACTTCTTTGAGCAGGCAATATTCCGTAGCTCACGCCATTTCCATCTAGCTTTTCCATTCTTTCCTTCTTCGCGACTCTCCAACCTCGACCCTTTTCTTTTTTTCCCGCTTCACAAACCCAAAAGCCCCGTTTGTGGTTTTTCGTCGCCTCGTCTCTCCCCGGGCCAAGCAGTCCCCTTTTCCCTCCGTCATCAGAATTTTCTTGATTGATACCCGACCCTCCTTTACTTTTACCGTGTCACCAGTCGGCCGACTTCTACTTTCCGTTCTCCCTACCTCTACCGCAGCCTCTACACTACAAAGCTACTAGCGCCCCCTACCTAGCAGGTACCGCTAGCTTTGTAGCCTCCCTCCCCTAAGAGGGAATCCCTGGACAGCACTGATCAGTGGCTCGTTGCCTCGTCGTTCCTGCTTGCCGATCTCCACAACCGCTGCTGCACTCTGCTGCACTGCACTCTGCGCACCCGCCGCTCAATTCACCGCAACCACCACCCTACCACTTCCCACCACCTACCGTCCGGCTACAATCACAAGGGCACTCACCTTCTTTCGCTCGCTTCTCCATCGTCAAGACTGCGCGTTTCCCCCCGACAACACGCTTCTTTCCCAGGAACCTCGCTTCCTCCTTCTCAACCATCACCGACATCCCTTCCTTCGACCTTTAATTCTATCCGCCTTCGCATCCAGGATCCCCCCTGAGGGCCTTATCCATCACCCAGTGACGTTCTCTGCACCGTTGCCGAGCGACCTGAATCACCTAATTATTTGAGGAGGCTATTCCATCTTGCCCCTCGTGTCGACATCTCGACTTTTTCCAACCTTTACTTTTTAAATCTTCTTTAATCAATAGCCAAAATGGCCAACAAGGTGAGTCGCTCTGCAGCCGTCATTCCTTTCGCACTCCTCGATTGAAGCGCGCCCTTGGGTTCAATCGCCTGCGGCATTTGGCTAACATTGCTTCCTTTCGCGCAGTTCACAAGAGAATACAAGCTGGTGGTTGTCGGCGGCGGTGGCGTCGGTAAATCGTGCCTCACCATCCAGCTTATTCAAGGTCACTTCCTTGACGAATATGATCCTACAATTGAGGGTGCGTTCCACTGGTAACCGACAGGGACCCTCGAGACCTACGATCCGACTCTCGATGGTCTTGACCCCTTTTTTTGGCCGTAGTTTCTGGCCCAGCGAAGTTTGTACTAACTTGGAGATCTCAACAGATTCGTATCGCAAGCAATGCACCATCGACAACGAGGTCGCCCTGCTTGACATTCTAGATACCGCCGGCCAAGAAGAGTACTCTGCCATGCGCGAGCAATACATGCGCACCGGTGAAGGCTTCTTGCTCGTTTTCGCCATCAACTCGAGGGAAAGTTTCGAGGAAATCAGGATCTACCAGCAACAGATTCTCAGGGTCAAAGACAGGGACTCTTTCCCCATGATCATTGTCGGAAACAAGTACGATTTGAGGGGAGAGCGCGTTGTTTCGGAGCAGGGTAGGTTTCCACTTCATCCCCAGGAGCGTCAGGACAGTACACTGACAGCACTTTACCACAGAGGGACAAGCTCTCGCCGCCGAGTTCGGTACCAAGTACATCGAGACCTCCGCCAAGACACAACACAATGTCGAGAACGCTTTCTACGATCTCGTCCGCGAAATCAGGAAGGAGGACAAGAAGCTCGGCGAGAAGGTCGGCGGCACTTCGTTCGCCAACAACAACGGGGCGGTTAAGCAGATGGACGTTGGCGACGAGGACGTTCAAGCAGGCTGCTGCTCCAAGTGCATAATGATGTGAATGATCGAAACCAACAGGGGAAGAGCAAGCGGGGAGTTAAAAGAATTGGGACACGTTTGCAATGAAGAGATGGACGATCACACACACACGCACACAAAATCCCGACTTTATAGACGACATGGATGTGCAAACAACCAAATCACAAAAGCCACATCGGACTGCTACGCCGAAGCCTTAACTCAAGTGCGGGACTTAGTCGGTACTCGGGACAAGCGGACCAGTGGAAGGAATATCAGCGTGTGGAGGCATTTTCAGGCGAGAAGGAGGTTAGGAACCGGGACCGGGTACACGCATGCTTTGCATTTTGTGGGAATTTGTTGCAGTGGCACTTTTCGGATGAGCTGTGCGACTTGAAAAAGTTGCTCTCGGGTTACGAACTGGCCGCTGTGCCTAATACTACGCCGCCGCTGCTACATCTCGCTCCTTGGCGTTCGTGGGGCGTGGTCGGTTTCTCTATCAGCGTCTGGAAGAGGTCGCCAAGGGAAGAAGGAAGGCCGGGTTTGGTCTGGTTGGTTCGGCGAAGTGGTTGGGTGGTTGGTTTTGGTTTGGTATAGTTCTGGTCCTGTCTGGTCTGGTATGTCTGGGGGTTTTTGTTGGCACCTTTTCTGTCCGTGTTTTCACGATCCACGGCTTTTTGTGGTCAAATACTTCTTTTACTACCTTTTTTCACTTACACACTTTTGGGGAGTCCTTTACCCACGAGAGAACTCCACTACTTGCTATGGATGTCATGTCATGGTGGGGGATTCCGATCGATACTGGTTTTGCAAACTCTCTGAAAGAACATTGTTTATTTGTAATTCATTCTTACTAAATCTTTTTTCTTCGCTCTGCTTGCTTTAGCTGATCTGTCTGATCGTGTTTCCTCCCGTTATTTTTTATGTCCTCTATGTCCAAATGCTTGCATGGTAAACTGGTTGGTGGTCGGGTGGTTGTTGCATGCTAGTCTTCAGTTGTCAAGTCATCGTCGAATACCTCGTCTCCTCTGATTGAAGTGTCTCGAGTGCTCGCGGCCTGGTGCCCTAATGTTGTGATATACATGTTCGTAAGGCCTGACTGATGTAAACCTACAGGAACCGAAGGGGGCCTATACCTAGCCGTTTCTCAGCCTGTCAGTCTATACCTGACTGTGGCCAGGAAATCAGGCTTGCATACATATACGTACAGTTAGCAGGGCTGAAGCCTCGTGAAACAAAATTTCGGACCTTGAAGAGCTCAGTGTACCAAGGTTACCCAACATGCGGCCGACAGCTTTGGACAGAATAGTTCAGACACCAAGGTAAGCAAATCAATGTGAACGATAAACAAAGAAACTACCGGCTCACAACCGTACCTTAATCTCCATGGATGAGATGGCTCGCTCGCCGATTCAATTCAAGACAAAGAAAGCAAAGCACAGCATACGTTCGCTACCCACGCCGGTAACTGTCAATTGTCAAGGTACTTGTATCTGCTTTTTCCTACTTTGCCTGCCAGCGAGTTCTTGCTCATGTGATGATTCCTCTTTCCCGGTCCAAGAAAACAAGGGAAAAAAGAAAAAAACAAGATGTGTCGCACTCCGTCGTGTTCTGGACGGCAGCCAAAATCCGCGACTTCCATTTATTTATTCTTCTTTTCCTTCTTTTCCCTTCTCAACTGGCAATGGCGACGGCAGCCATCGGTTACGTTAAAGTGCTTCCTTGTGAGACAGCTAGCTCTTTGAGAGACTCTGACTTCGACTAGTCTACATACATGCGTCTGACGCGACGGCGGTAGACCTAACAGCACAGTTTTGCCTCAGTTAATTTGCCCTGGAAGGAGGTAAAGAAGGTGGTGGAAAGTTTTGATAAGTAAGGCAGGTAGCAGGTAGCTTAGGTAAGGAGACTAGGTTAGATGCGTTTTCATACACGTCGGGCGTATTTCTGAGGTCCTGCTATCTACGGAAGATTGTTGGGAGGAGTGTGCTTTTTTGGTTTACTTATTCACCATGTCAATTCCAACAGGATCACGATGATCTCTTTATCAATTGTCGACTGCTTTTTGGGGAAGAAAAGGTGATGGTCAGTAAATGTAGTAATAGGCTGGACTTAGCTAGACTAAGATGTCACAGATGAAGGGCAAATACTAGCACAAGTTGGTTGTTCAATGATGCAGTCAAGTCTAGTTTCCGTCCTTTAAGATTATCCGCTTGATTTTAGTCTCCAACCATTCGATCCATCTCCTTTCAGTTGACGATCCTCCAGCTGTTCGCTTTTTGTGCTCTTCTTTCTCTTGGTGTAAATCATCAATCGCTCATGCTTCTTGCCAAACTTGAGAGGTCCTCACCAGCTTATATCCGTATGTACAAAGTCTTCCTAGAAACCATTCTTCTCATAGACTTCCAACTTTTCATTACACTTTTTCTCATTTTCTGTCACATCAGCAGTGAGCTGGATATCCCAACTTCCATCCTTCTGGTGGACTCGGGGTAGTCGAACGGTCAGATAGGGGCGAAGAGACGGGCTCGGACATTGACTGGTTGGTTTCGACGGATGTTTCTGAGTCGGCGGTGGGGGTTGATATCGACACAGGACTCCCGGGACCCTCGTCAGAACCCTCAGACCTCGTCGAGGGCGGAGCCGGAAAAGCAGTAGGTGGTGACTCAAAGTCATAGCTCATGCTCATCAGAAATGCTGGAGCTGGCGGTATAATTTGTGAGACAGGAGCAGCAGCAGCATGATGAGGCATGGAGTCCGGAGTAGGTAATCCGATCACTGTCACGGTTGACGCCTCTGGAGCTTTTCGGGTCGCCAAAATACCGAGATCTCCGGCTTGTTGTAATTGTTCGGCTTCGACGGTGGCAGTAGGAGAAACAAGTATAGCGGTTTCAGAGTTGAGAGTGTTAAAACTCGGGGACAGCAGCGTACAGGCTAAGCAAGCTATGTCGATAATTGATGGAGCAACTCGGGGCGCGTCGATATCGACGGGTGCTGTGTGTTTGCCTTCGACTGTGGCAGCAGTGGGAGACACGAGTGTACGAGTTTCAGAGTTGACTGTTTCAGGACTCGGGACTAGTAGCGTACGGGCTAAGCAAGCTATGTCAATAATTGATGGAGCAGCTCGCGGTCCCTCAATATCGACAGGGTGTTGTTGTTCGCCGTCTATGGAGACGATAGGAACCATGAGTGTAGGAATTACAGGATTGAGAGTTATTGGGCCCCTGGGGATCTGCTCGGGAGCCGAGCGAGTCAAAATCCTTAAGCAAGTAAATGAATCAATGGGTGGCGCATCGCCAAAGGTGGGCAAGGTCTGAAGTTCTGGAGTTGATAAAGGTGACACAGACGGCGGTTCAACCACTGACGAGTGACAATCCGCGGAATTCATGGTGTCTACGGGATGGTCGCGCTACTTGGTCCCAGACCCCGTTGTGGTTACGTCCGCAGTTTCCGAGGCAGGAGCACCATAAACCTGTACAGGTGGTTTGGTAGGCGCGCCAGCGTCAACATCGTCATCGCCTTCGTTGGCTACGATTCGGCCTTTGACATAGTGGCAGACTTCGGGGGCGATAGAGTCGAGGAAGGCTTTGTCTCTGTAGGTGGGTATGGTTAACGGACTGGCTTCGTCTCCGGAGGTAGAAGGAGAATGTGGAATTCAAGGCAAGGACTTACTTTCCAACAAGGGTAACAGTGTTGTGCTTCTCCCCCCACCTGGGATAGCTTCCAACCTTGACCCCCCTAGGCTCAACTCTCCCTGCCAGCTCAGTGAGGTAGGCGGCGATGGCGCTCTCAGGAAGTGGTGTAGAGATGGTCACTCGGGCAATACCCTTTCCTTCGGGGTCGACTAGGCGTGGCTGAATGTAGGGCTTGAGGCCGTCAAGGAGTTTCTCGACTGTATAACACTCGTTAGTTTCCGCTTTCAATGACCTTGCTCAACACTGGTTCCATAACCCATGATCATAGGAAACGGAGACATACACAACCTAGGCACGCCCGGCAAGATGTGCACGTTCCCGTTCACAACCGCAACCGGCACCCAAAGTTCCTTGCAAGGGAACAGAAACTGCTTCGCAGGGTCTCTATTTACGTCTGTCGGTAGCTCCACCATACGGAGCTTCGCGGTAAGAACGGGGGAGGGCTCGTCCCAGTTGAAGGGTGGCTCGCCCTTACGCGGAACAGAGATCTTCTTCATGAGTGCGAAGGCCTCTTCGTTCAGTTTGAGAGGAAGACCAAAGGCCTTGGCTATCGATTGGTAGGTAATGTCGTCGTGGGTGGGGCCGATTCCTCCACTGTTGTTGAACATGGTCAATAATGCGTCCTGGACACTCAAACAAGGATCGGCGATGGTGGTACCTGGTGACGATAAAGTCGTAGCGGTCACTCATCCGACGGACAGCTTCGATGATTTCATCTTCTTCGTCGGCGATGACTTCGATTCTCTTGAGGTTCTGATGAGAGTCGTCTACAGTGAGTCTGGGAGTCTCTTGTGTTGCTTGACTGGTTGTAGGGACTTACAATTCCCAAGTTGAAGCACCATTTTGCCATGTAGTTGGAATTGGTCTAGGGTCAGTCAGCATGGGCTCCCAATAAGCAGATATTCCAAGTTCATGACTTACATCTTTGGTCTATACAAAAACGAATACAGGTGTTAGTCTCACGGTCTCTCTCAAACAACCCTGCAGGTATTCGTTGGACCTGCCTTTCCACCCAAAACTTCATCACCAATAATCAAGCATGCTGCCGTATGGATAGTCCGCGCATTGCGCTCATCTGCTGTGGCCGTCGACCCCATGATGCTGTTGAATAATCCTGTTGTTGAAGTGCGGCGTGGAGTTGATGTCGACGGGCTAACAAGTGACGTTATCGCTGGCCGTGACAAATGCCGAGCAACCTGGGATAAACGAGGGAACATGGAAGGGTTGATTAGTCTTATAAGACAAATATTCGAGGTTGAAATGACTGAAGAGAGGATGAAGATGGAAGTTACAATGTCACAACGGGAACGGGATGTGGTCTCGGCTTGTCTTGCCGATGCGTGGTTGCGGCATTGGTGCCTGCCCATCGCCGTTCATCGGTCCCGTCCCAGGGAAGGCCAGGCAGCGCCTTCCCCGCTCCGTTTAGCGGGTCGAGCTGTTAGGCTTCCAGGTTCTGCGGGCCAATGGCCAGGACAGCCCCGCTGTCAGCGAGGAATCGATAACAGAGCTTACAGGGGCAGATAGCTGCTGAGCTGTGGACTTGGCAGTGATGCCATGCGGGGCTGACTTGCGTCCCTGAACGAGGGCGGTGTCCCGGCCCCTCGACAACTCAACGCGACATCTTTTCGAGATACAACTCCTAACTCCTTTGCTACCTTTGAGCTTCCCGACATTGCCTATCCGATTCCGATTTACCTCGAGAGCTACCATTTTCGCCGTCCGAATCCTTCGTATCCGACCAACCTAGAAACAGCTCTTCACAATGGTGCGCCGCCTTCCTATCGCAACATCCGATCTATCCATGCCAGCTCCTATCTCCAGCTTCATAGCTGTCCGACGAAATCCCGTCGCGATCCTCCAGAATCACGGCTAATAGCGTAAGCGCCAGGCTTCCGAAGCAAGGCTCTACACTTTCTCACAAGAGACGAAAGACCACCTGCGCAAGTTCCGCCTCGGGACATCGCGCTCCAACGACCCCCAGGCCGTCATCTGTATGTATGTTCCCGTTGTTCTCCTGATCCTGTCCCCAGGTACGGTGCGGAAAGGTCCAAAGCTAATAGTGTTGACTTTGCAAACAGACCTGATTGATAAGACAACCAAGGAAATCAGGCAAGACGATGACAAAGTAGTCTACAAGACGCTTGAAGAAATCGGCGATGATTTGCCCGACCACAGCCCGAGATTCGTGCTGTTGAGCTATCCTCTCACACTTGTACGTCCTCCCCTAGTCGATCTCCCTATCATCGCATATACCAACGCGTCGGGCCTATCGATCCTTGGACAACAGAGAGAGAATAGTAAGCTGACCACAATACGCAACAGCCCTCCGGCCGACTCTCCGTACCATACGTAATGCTCTACTACATGCCCTCAACATGCAACGCCGCGATGCGCATGTTGTACGCGGGCGCCAAGGAGCTGATGCGCAACACGAGCGAGGTGACCAAGATTATCGATATCGAGTCGCCGGAAGACTTGGAGGAGATTCCGGCTAAGCTTGGTGCTGCTTGAGCTATTCGAGAGTGCGATGGGAAGGGTAATTCGAGGACGGGCTATGATAGGAGAGCCAGACACGGCCAGAAGGGGAATCATTGGGTACAAAAGCTGGGAAATCATACGAGAGACAGCGAGGAACCAGAGCACGGGATAAGGAGCATAGGGAGGCCATTGTGAAGCAAGGCAAAGTTCAGCTAGATGCCGGATCATCTATGATTATGATCTTTCTCATTATATAAACGCCGATATCCCAACCAGATCAAAGCCAGAAACCAGTACCCAAACTCCGTGTCCATGCTACCTAGCCGTGCTCCCCTCAAGCGCCATCCTCCTCAGGCATCACCACCGTCGGATCCAACCCCATCTCCGTCGCCAGCCCCTTAACCACCCCCTTCAACGCCGCACACGCCGGGCTATCAGGGAAGCTATCAAAGAAGCTCTCTCCATAATCGCACGCCATGCCAATCCTGGGATCAAGCGGCACACTCCCCAAGAACGCAATCCCCATCTCCTCCGCCAGCTTCCTTCCACCACCCGTCGTAGCCTTGAAGATCTCGCTCTCATGCGTGCACTTGGGACACACAAACCCGCTCATATTCTCCACCAGTCCCAAAACCTTAATCCCCGCCTTCCGGCAGAAATCGATTTCCTTCCTGACATCCAACAAGCTGACCTCCTGCGGGGTAGTAACCATCACCGCGCCATCGATCCCGCTCTCCTTCAGGTATGTGTTAACGCTCAAATGCTCATCTGACGTGCCGGGGGGTGTGTCAACAAGCAAGAAATCCAAATCGCCCCATTCCACATCCTTAAGAAATTGCTTGATCAACCCGTTCTTTTTTGGGCCACGCCAGATGATCGCGTCGTCTCGGTTGGGTAGCATGAACTGAATCGACATGACAGCGAGGTTATCCATCGCCCACGCTGGTGACCACCCGTTACTCGAGACGTGGATTGTTTCGCTCTCGACGCCTAACATCTTGGGAATCGAGGGGCCGCAGATATCAGTATCCATCACCCCCACTGTCTGCTCTGCATTTGTAGCGAACGCGTGCGCTAGCAAGCTGGTGAATGTCGATTTGCCGACGCCGCCTTTGCCGGAGAGGATGAGGATCTTGTGTTTGACGCCCGATAGACGCGCGGTGATTAAAGGTATGTCCGGGTCGGGACCTTTCGGCGCCGTGGCGCAGATGGCTTGGTTCGGACAGCCGGCGCAGGAGTCGGCTTTGCCGGCTTGTTGGGATTCAGGACCGGGACAGTGTTCGGGTTCTGGAGCGACGAGGTTGGGTTTTTGTTTGAGAGGGTTGGCGAGGACGTCGGCTACTGAGTCGGGCTCGGTCGAGGCCTCGAGGAGGGGCCATGGTGGGCTAAATTGATGTCTTGTTGTCGCGATGATGGTTTATTTTTCTTGGGTTGTAGATTGGGCGCGGAAATTGTAGAGCACTCGGGGTATATGGTATTGGTAGTTTATGTGCTGGTGATTTAGAAGTTTTGGGTAAGTAAGGTTGTTTCGAGGTGGTTGTTGATATGGAAATGATTCAATGGCTTGCTTAGAAATCGGGCTCCTAGAATCGGTCTTCGTCAACGCCATTCCATAGTTTGCCTCCACTCCAGTCGACTTTGCTCGGCGGGGCTTATCTTATCGGAAGCGGAGGTACGTACCGATTTTCGCGGGAAAGGCGGGGCCGCTAACTCGGGAGACCCACTCCCACCGGGATCTTTGCCTGGCTACTGTCCTCCACCGATCGTGGAACAGGTCTGTCCTTGTTTTGCTGGTGGTGTAAGTGTAGATTTTGTTCATAGCATGTGAAGTATGAATTGCTCAAGTGAGGACAGAATGCCGAAGTCCAACGCTCAACCTGTCAAGCTTGAGTGTGATGAACTTCTACGGTTCCGTCGTGATCCTCTCGTTAGCGCTGTAACTGGGCCGGATGACAGGTCGCGTGCCAATCCTCCCAGTCCGGTATTTGCATATGAGACTGGAGTTGTTCTGGACCGTCACTGGCACCATGTCACCCCACACAGCTATGCCGACGACTTTCAACAGCCTCAACCCTTTTCCGTATACCGTTTGACATCCTTCAACCACCATAATGTCATCCAACGGTTACTCGATGACCTCGGAATGTGTAGGGCTGACGAGCCTTGCTCCGGACAGCCAGGACATCCCGACTTTGTCAAGTGGATTTGCGGTTCGGGCCTGGAACGGACTCCGCCGGTACCTGGCCGTCTTTGGCAAGGCTTTCGTTATCCACTGGTGAAGCGGTGTTCTTGTGTCCTTGACAGATCGAGTATCAGATGCGCTCAACCTCTGATTGGATGCTGTCAAGATCTGAAGTGGTATCGAGCACCACTACGCCATCATATGTAATTACCTAAAAAGCCGACAACCAACAGTTGGCGATGGGGCATCTGCTGTAGTTGGCCCCAGATGATATGTGATCGTACCGTGACCTTGAGAAGCAGATAGCTAGACATAGACACGTCCGATACCGAGGCAGCTTCAGACAACTTTTCATGTCTTTCTGCTTCTAGTACATCACGGCAGCTGTTCGTTGCCAAGTATCACGACAAAAGATCAGAGCTAGAATTGGCCAACAGGGAGAAAGAGATGAGCGAACAAACCATTCAGGACCAAGGCACCAAGCTGCACCAAGCTCGAGTTCCGGCGGAGATGGACCCTGCAGCACGGTGGTCACCTTCCAAATTCTTTCATCGGACGGCGCGTGGTGGTTGGGTATGTCAGTTGGGAATCTAGCGCGCCGAGCTAGTGATGAAGTGAGGAATTATCGGGCGGGTCACGGTCATTGGGACCACGATTCGTCGGTCCAGAGTATCGGCGCCTCCGCACCCCCTCCGCACCCCCTCCGCTCCTGACCTCCGCGCATGGCCGCTGATGCAGGTCGCAGCACGAAAAGTCTCCATGGGCCGTCGGATTTGTGCCCACTCGCTTCCAGCCCAACCGCCTTCGTCGAATGAGAAGCCCGAGCCCAATGGTCGCTATGGGGCCGGCCTATGGGGAGCAAATGGGGAGCCATGGGCCGGCTGTGAAAAAAGATAATAATCCCGAGCGCGCGGCTTGATTTTGTAAAGAATTGACTTCTCACATCTTGTTCCGTCTCTCTGCTGCCCGGAGGAGGTTTGTCTGTCTGTCTGTCAGTTTTGTTATTTTGCTGTTGATGCCAGCCATATGGTGCCGCCCACGCATTGTCGAGTGTGGTAACATTGCAGCGCGATACAGCAGGTAAATAACGAGTCAAGTAAAAAACGACAGCTCTTCTAGCGACAATCAGCTCAGCCTTGCGAAAGCGAGGCCACCGAGATAGAGAGCAATGATGCCTTCGTCGTCGAAACCACTTACAAGTCGGAAATCCCTGAGGGGATTGAGCATGTTCGCCAAGGACGGAACTTTCAGCAATCCAACCACACCGACAACTCCAGGAGCACCGGGACCACTAGGGACACCAGGGACGCCAGAGACCCGGGCGCCAAACAGACGCGGTACTCCAACTCGTAACGACCGTAACGGCCGTGACCGTACCGAACGTGACACCGGACGAAACGGGACATCAAGAAGACCGGGGACTCCTTCCACTTCCGGGTCGGGGCTCTTGAAAGTGATGGAAGGGACGGGCGCCGCCGATGTGGGCCCCGCAGCGTCGGTACCCGCCAGAGATGCCGTCCGAACAGAAAGAACCGCCGACACGGTACGACGCGCTTCCTCCGCAAGAACGACCCAGCGAACCAGAGAGCCTTCTCAATTGGGTGCTCAGATTTCCCGTCCTCCCTCTCGCATGCCCTCCATCCCCGGGCCATCTCGACAACTACCCAACCAACCTGTGACGCCATCTCTACTCAACCCGACTGTTTACACGCCTCCCACCAGAGAACAACGAGCTGCTGCAGCTGCGTCGCGAGGTGGCCGCAATACCTCGACCTCTTCTGCTCCCGGGACCAGTCACCACCTTACCTCCTCGGTCAGCTTCCCTGCACAGGGACAGCCATCCCGTCCAATGCACCGAAGCAGACCCTCGGCGCCCGAAAACGGCCAACGGCCAAATGCCTGGGAGGACTCAACTGTTGCGTCCAACATGTTTGGCGACCAAGAAAGCAGGGATGGAAGGTCAGAAAGTAATCACGAGCGCCAGATAAACGGAGCACACCACCCCCAGCTCGTGCGGGGCCGTCACTACAGCGACACTGCATTCCCTCGCTCGAACAACACCCAGCCACAGCATCCAGCTGTCACCCAACAACAACCCAAGTCTGCACGACCAACCCCCGACCACGATGAGAACCTACCATTTGTTATTGGCGAAGGCGGTATCCTTACCGTTCTCGAGGTCCCAAGAAACCGCAATGATCCCGATGCTGTCGCGCTGAACAAGACCATTGAAGCTATCACCAAGGAGCGGGAGCCAACCATCAAGATCGAGGACGAATATGAAGGCGATCGCGCAGCATTCAACTCGACACCCACCAAACAACTTGGTGCCTTCCAGCGAACACGACTTCCTCACCGCGACCCAAGAAAAGGGGGATCAGTAAGAGGTGGTCAGGGCGGATACACATCAGATGTGCAATCCCCGGGGATGTCCTCGGATACCGGCGCAGACCTGGAAAAGAGCCGGATCGAACAACGACTACGCCGTGAGCGTGAACATGAGCGTCTGCGTGAGCAAGAAAGGGAGAAGGAACGGATTCGGAAGGAGGCCAACCGACGCGAGCGTGAACGCAAGCGCCAGCATGAAATCCAACATCAGCGCAGCACCGTCTTTGACGACCTGACCCCTGTTGAATCTGAAGTACCACCGTTGCCCACGCCCAACTTCAACAACACTCAAGCCGCTGTTGTCCCTAGCAGCAGCGGCGGTTTCGACCCTGATATGTCCTCGCCTGGCAACGTCACGCCTAAAGCGTCCGGCTCTCGCCATCTTCACCCGTCACAGATACCGAAGCAGCAGCCTCTACCTCCTCAACTCAAAGACGCCTCGATTGCTCTGGCGCGAACCACCAGCCGCCGCGCAAAGGAAAAGGAGGTCCAAAAACCGCAGCAACAACATCAACAACAGAAACAACAAAACCCTTGCACCTCTCCACTACCAATCCTAGAACAGGCCAAAAAGCGCCGTCTTTCCACTCTCGACTACGATGACGCCCAACTCTACAAAATGCCCTATACCACTCTCCTCACTCAGTCCTTCGACGAAGACCCGCAAGAAGAAGCTGAAAAGCAGCAAGCTCAAGCCACCACAAAGCTCCAGCAAGATGACCGTCCTCCAGCAGACGCATCTCTCGAAGACAAACTCCAACACTACAAGACCAAACCTACTGCCCAACAAGCCGAGTTCTTTACGCACATGAAGATTGACGAGTGGGATGATGCAGGTGACTGGTTCCTGGATCAGTTCACATCTGTGGCGAAGAGGATCAAGGACGCAAGAAGGGCGAAGAGGAAGATGGTGGAGAATTTCGAGGTGGAGGTCGCCGAGAGGGAGGGAGCAGTTAGAGGCAAGATTGAGAAGATTGGACGAACGCTGGAGAACCTGAAAGAGGAGGGGAAGACGATGATGCAGGGGAAGGAGATGGATTTGGAGGATTAGTCGTCCCAGTTGTCGATTGTGGCTGAGGAGCTGCCCTAAGCTGACTGTGTGGGAAGGCGAAGAGATGACGGAGCAGACCTGTGAGATTTCTTTACAGTTGTTATTTTGGCATGGCGTTCTGGTATGGGAAAGGTGAAAGGGCGGAATAGGAAGGAGCAGGAACAGGAACATAAATACCCCCTTGTTGTAGGATGTGTGATGTTCGAGATGGATGTTTGCTTTCCTTGTATCTGATATCTTATTGCCGATGTGGGTTCTTCCTCAAGTATGTATTTGCTCTGCTCGAGACCTTATGATGTCGATATAACATAATCCAGCTAGAAATCAGTCATTTGGCAGCCTCGAACGTTTCAAGTCCTTTGGAAGTAGTGAACATGCTCTATCCCGTACGATATTCCAGCACCAGCACAGCGAAAACTCCCACTCCTGCTCACACCAATCCACAAGCCAAACCTGCAACCTCTCATCCGGGTATCAAAACCACCAACACCCCCTTCCAAACTCCCCTCTCAAATAACCATACTCTCCACAACCCCCCCTATCCCTCCCCACCACAATCCTCAACTGCCTCCCCCTTTTGGTTTCGTCCCCTTCAAACACCCCACGTCTAACCCCCTCCTCATAAAGCTCATAAGCAGGAAAATACCCATCAACAAACTTCTTCACCATCTCCTTGCCCATCCCGCCCACTCCCCCCGGCATCTCCCTCCGCATCTGCTCCTCCTGTTCCAGCCGCCACTCATACACCCACTCCAGATTTTGGGTATCAATATGGATGAATGCATCAAACTGGTCCCACACCGGCTCATACCCTTTTAGTTGATCGTTGATAAAGAGGAGATGCTCGAGTTTGTGATGGGATAAGGTGCGGTGGTGCGATATGTCGAGGTATTTACTTTGGATGACGGAGGCGGGAAGGGAGCGGAAGCCGGTTAGCCAGCCTTCGAGGAGCAGCACGCGGATGTTGGTGTGTTCGGGCCGGGAGAGGGAGGGGTCGTTTATCGGTGGGAAGGTGGAGGCCGGGGCGCGGTCGCCGAGGCCTTGGTGGGCGGATTTGAGGTAGCGCGGGAGGTGGGTGGGATTGTGGGAGGTTATGGAGGAGAGGAAGGAAGTGAGGAGGGGGAGGTCGTGCGTTCCTATTTTGAGGGAGAATGTTAGCGGGAGGTAATGAGAGTAGAGATGGAGGCGGTAAGGGAGGCGGTGACTGGTAAGGTAGTGAATAAACAAGGACATGACACAGGGGATGATGCGGGTAATCAATGAAGAAGGCCTCAAGGACAGGTGAGGATCAAAGAGGATGAGGATGAAAACGCTAATCAAAGGAATATGGGAACAGTACACAGAAAGGTGAGAGAAGAAGGAAGGGCAAGGCGAGACGAGGCGAGACGAGACGAGGCTATTAACAATAACCAGCTACCGCATGCAAAGGTTACCCTCAACAGTGGATCCACATGTCTCGTTGGGGTAAAAAGTAAACAAACAATAAAGGGGTCCAGCCTCTTGAGCATCGGGAGAGTCCAGTCCCGAACTCGAACAACAAACACCACACCCACGCAGAGCTTACAAAATGCGAACGTCACAGGACACACACCTGAAAAAAAAGAATGCTTCACTCACCAGGTTCCCCCCGATACTGCACCAGCGCATTATCACTATGCTCCTCCGCCAGCTTCAACTGATCCTCATGCGTCAGATAAAAATCATCAATGGACACCACCAGGGTATTCAGTCCTTCCCTCTCTTGCAGTGTTTCCGCAAGCGCTTTGACCAGCGTCGTCTTGCCCACTCCTTGGACGCCATTCAATCCAATGACGAAAGGGCGCGGGTTCGCTTCGTTGGCGTGAACCGCGTTGTACTCGGCGATTTTGGACAAGATAAAAGGGATGCAGAGGGGGGACTTGTCGTCTATGATTCGGGACTGGAGGGGCGGCAATGGGTCGACGGTGCCGGCGAGGGGTTTGGAGGAGACGGAGTCTATTGTGTCCATCATTTTGTGGATTCGTTTCTATCGTAGGGTAATGACTTGGTATTTGGTGAAATTCTAGGATGTTGTCTGTCGCGAAGTGTTGTTTTGAGAGAAAGGTCAATGAGGATGAGGCTCGCAGCGGCACAGAAACGGCGAATGACGACATTGGCGCGGTTAAGGAATACTGTGGGGTAAGCGTGGGAAAAAGCTGTGGGGTAAGTTGAGCGAAACCGAATGGGGCCTTCTCCGCGTTCCGTCTCCGCGTTCCGTCTCCGCGTTCCGTCTCCGCGTTTTCAATCCCGTGTTTGTTGGTTCTCAATCCGGAGCCGGGATAAAAGAGATGCCGACATGTTGGTTGTTTGAGGCTTTCATTCCGAACGACCCATTTCGAAGGATGCCGCTGACTTTTGGAATTGGGGATATCGCGTCGGCTTGGGGGTCACTTTTGGAGAAGGAACTGGGTCCACTTGGAGAATGTGAAGAGCTAGAGACAAAGTGGAAAGTGATCTCTTCGAGAGAACATTTTCAGCTTTCTGTTAAACTTCATAGTCTTTTCTTTGTGAGATGAAGGCCAGGAGTGATACCTGATACCACTATTCGGGTGCGTTCCTCAACGTGCATTCATGTGACTGCCCAAGCCGGGATCCCTCGCCAAATGCACAGGCCCGAAACCGAGCAGCTCCGCATTGTTTGAATGCTCGTCTGGGGTTTCTTCAGCCAACATCATCTGCGTCAATCGCATGGTGTTGAGCATGGCGCCGCAATGGAAGAACTTTTGGAAGCAATTGAGTCTCGACTTTTCAAGTCTGGTTCAGTTCCTACAGCCAAGTCACGCCGTCCCGTCTAGCTGCAATGCAGTCTTCATGTCAGAATGGCATCCGGAAAACCATAGGCACATATTTACCCGCTGTTGCTTTTAAGTTCACGACTTTCAGTGTTGAGCTCAATTCAAAGGATTGAAAGTTTCAACAACAATTACCTTCCCCCAATTCTGTTCCTGGGAGACCGACGATCTTATGAGAGTTTGTGAGACACGACGCGACAACCGGAAGGGTGCTTTTCCCCGAAGTAAGAAGAGTTGCATGTGATCTTAAGACGTGGAAGAAACGAATGGGGAAGAACAAGTACAAGGGGCAAAGGCATGGAGAACACCCCGCTCTCGGCAAAACCAGAGTGTGGGGCAATTTGGACCATCCCATTGGCTGGTTTCGCTGCACCGGTGGACATGCCGTTCTGCCTCGGCTTACAGCGCCCGGCAGCACCTCGCTCCAGCAGCCTGTCCACTTGCCGACGTCAAGAGGTCGAGTGACCATCGTCCAGTTTATTATTAAGTGCCGGCACCAGCCAGCGCATCTTCCATCACCAAACATTCCTCCTTCCATCCCATCCCCCTTCTTCTTTTTTGCTCCATACTAGATATACCCAGAGCTGTTGTGTAACTTTCTTTGTTTGTTCGTTTGTTTCTAGCATCATCACAACACATACCCCATATCCAAAATGGCTGAGCAATTGAGGTTCGACGGCCAGGTCGTCGTTGTCACCGGTGCCGGCGGTGGTCTTGGTAAGGCCTACTGCCTGTTCTTCGGCTCGCGCGGTGCTTCCGTCGTCGTCAACGACCTCGGTGCTTCCTTCAAGGGCGAGGGCAACTCTACCAAGGTAAGCATATTTCCCCGTAAACCAATGCGCCATACATCGCCACTGTCATCATTATGCTAACGAGTACACTCAACAACAGGCTGCCGATGTGGTTGTCAACGAGATCAAGGCCGCTGGCGGCAAGGCCGTCGCCAACTACGACAGCGTCGAGAACGGCGACAAGATCATCGAGACCGCCATCAAGGAGTTCGGCCGCATCGACATCCTCATCAACAACGCCGGTATCCTCCGCGACATCTCCTTCAAGAACATGAAGGATGAGGACTGGGACCTCATCTTCAAGGTCCACGTCAAGGGCTCCTACAAGACCGCCCGCGCCGCCTGGCCCTACTTCCGCAAGCAAAAGTTCGGTCGCGTCATCAACACCGCCTCCGCTGCCGGTCTGTTCGGTAACTTTGGCCAGGCCAACTACTCGGCCGCCAAGCTCGCCATGGTCGGCTTCACCGAGACCCTCGCCAAGGAGGGCATCAAGTACAACATTCTCTCCAACGTCATTGCTCCTATCGCTGCCAGCCGCATGACCGAGACCGTTATGCCCCCTGATCTTCTTGCCCTCATGAAGCCTGAGTGGGTCGTTCCTCTCGTTGCCGTCCTTGTTCACAAGAACAACACCAGCGAGACCGGCGCCATCTTCGAGGTTGGTGGTGGCCACGTCGCCAAGCTCCGCTGGGAGCGCTCCTCCGGTCTTCTCCTCAAGGCCGACGAGAGCTACACCCCCGGTGCCATCATCAAGAAGTGGGATCAGGTCACCGACTTCTCCAACCCCCAGTACCCCAGCGGTCCCAACGACTTCCTTACCCTCCTCGAGGAGTCCCTCAAGCTCGGGCCCAACGACTCTGGTGAGAAGATTGACTTCACCGGCCGTGTCGCCCTCGTCACTGGTGGCGGTGCTGGTATCGGCCGCGCCTACTGCTTGGCTTTTGCCCGCGCTGGTGCTTCCATCGTTGTCAACGATCTTGTCAATCCTGACGATGTCGTTAACGAGATCAAGCAGATGGGTGGCAAGGCCGTTGGCGCCAAGTTCTCCGCTGAGGACGGTGATGCCGTTGTGAAGGCTGCCATTGATGCCTTTGGCCGTATCGATATCGTTGTGAACAACGCTGGTATCCTTCGTGACAAGGCCTTCAACAACATGGATGACAGCCTCTGGGACCCCGTCATGAACGTCCACGCCCGCGGTACCTACAAGGTCACCAAGGCTGCTTGGCCTTACTTCCTCAAGCAGAAGTATGGCCGTGTTCTTAACACCACCTCCACTTCTGGTATCTATGGCAACTTCGGCCAGGCCAACTACGCTGCTGCCGTAAGTCTTTATCTTCACGATGTCCACTGAATTCTAGCTAACCTATGTATAGAAATGCGCCATCCTTGGCTTCTCCCGCGCCATTGCCCTCGAGGGTGCCAAGTACAACATCTATGTCAACACCATCGCTCCCAACGCTGGTACTGCCATGACCAAGACCATCCTTCCCGAGGAGCTCGTCCAGGCCTTCAAGCCCGACTACATTGCTCCCCTTGTCCTTGCCCTCTGCAGCGACAAGGTTCCCAAGAACCCCACTGGCGGTCTCTACGAGGTCGGCTCCGGTTGGTGCGGCCAGACCAGGTGGCAGCGCACTTTCGGCCACGGCTTCCCTGTCGACGTTCCTCTTACCCCCGAGGAGGTCGTCAAGCACTGGAACGATATCATCACCTTCGACTCCCGCTCGGACCACCCCGAGAAGGCTTCTGACAGCATCGAGAAGATCATGGCGAACATGGAGAACCGTGCCGGCGAGGGCAAGGTATGATTCCCTTTCTTCCTCCAGCTGCCACGAAAGAATGTCATGTAATTTTCCTTGTCCCATCATGTATAATAGCCATATAAAACCTCTAGTGTAGAATATTTGAATGACTGTTAACGACTCATCTTCTTCTCCCGTTAGTCTGGCGCTGCCGAGAACGAGCACCTTGCTGCTATCAAGAAGTTCACCGGCCTCGAAGGTAAGGGCACCGAGTACAAGTTCGACGAGCGTGACGTCTGCCTCTACAACCTCGGCATCGGCGCCAAGCGCACCGACATCAAGTACATCTTTGAAGGCAACGAGGACTTCGAGGTCATCCCCACCTTCGGCGTTATTCCTCCCTTCAACACCGAGATGCCCTTCTCCTTCGACGACATCGTCCCCAACTTCTCCCCAATGATGCTCCTCCACGGTGAGCAGTACCTTGAGGTTCGCAAGTACCCCATCCCCACCTCCGGTCGTCTCATCTCCAAGGGCAAGCTCCTCGAGGTCGTCGACAAGGGCTCCGCCGCCATCGCCAAGCAGGGCATCACCACCTACAACGCCGAGACCGGCGAGGAGCTCTTCTACAACGAGATGACCGTCTTCCTCCGCGGCTGCGGCGGCTTCGGCGGCCAGAAGAAGCCCACCGACCGTGGCGCCTCCACCGCCGCCAACAAGCCCCCCGCTCGTTCGCCTGACGCCGTCGTTGAGATCCAGACCACTGAGGAGCAGGCTGCTCTCTACCGTCTCAGCGGCGACTACAACCCCCTCCACGTCGACCCTGCGTTTGCCAAGATGGGCGGCTTCAAGGTCCCTATCCTTCACGGTCTCTGCTCCTTCGGTATCGCTGGCAAGGCCGTGTACGAGAAGTTTGGCAAGTTCAAGAACATCAAGGTTCGCTTTGCCGGTACCGTTAACCCTGGCCAGACCCTGGTGACGGAGATGTGGAAGGAGGGTAACAAGGTGGTGTTCCAGACCAAGGTTAAGGAGACGGGCAAGTTGGCTATTGGTGGTGCCGCTGCTGAGCTTGCTTAAGCTTTCTGAGGCTTGGGTTGGTGATACGGTGTATAGGACATGATAAAAAGTAATGGCGGTTTCAGGTTTGGGCTGGATCTTGGGTTAGCGATTTCTTTCGAGTTACGAATACCAATTTCTTGTATATCAGCTGTTTTCAAATGTCGCATCTGAATGAATGGAATGTGGCATTCTGTTTACGCTCTGCTCGTAATTTGTGGTGATGTCGTTCAACGCTTTACGAGTCTTGGTACAGTGATAAGCGAGTCCACTTCTTCATCCCAGAAGAGTTAGGGATATCCTAAGTTGAAGTCGGAAGCATTCCCAGATAGTATATATGCATTTAGTTTGGAGAGAGATGAATTTCGTTAGGACAAAGATGCATGCCTTGGTCAAACACAGGTATTTCGTGAAGGAATATATGCCTATATCCCAGCATTATAGGCATAACTAATACTAACACATGCGTTTTGTCTTGTGTGAAGGGCTTTGAAACCTAGAGGTAGTTATGACCATGTGGACGTCCATCGACCCTCTTCGCGTTGAGAACAGTACTCTGCCCACTGGATGGTGCAAAAGAAGAGCCAGCTGGCCAGATACCGGGGGCCTTGGGCAGAGATAGTTGGCTTGGTATTCTTGCAGTCAGTCGGTGAGTGTGACAAGGGCAGTGTTCTGGGCTTGGAACAGTAGTTCAATTCAGCTAATAAACTACTTTGGTCTCGAAGGCCTTGTTGATCCTTTCAACCTCAATGAGAAGGTCGGGCCTTAAGGCCTTCTTATACCAAAGAAGGTTGGTACGTACCGAGCCCTGTGTGCCAGGCATCGGTGCGAGTCTATCTAGTTCATCTGCCTACAAGTAGATCTTCTGAATGCCAGCCTTCGTCCAGTTGCCCGTCGGTAAATCCGGTCGGTGGTTTAATTGATGAAAGTCACCGGCGGATGTCCGTGTGGCATTCTGTCGGTAATTCTGGTCGGCAGTTTGACTGATGAATGTCACCGGCAAATGTCCGTGTGACACTGGCCGAGGCAAGGCTGGCATTGTATGGCGAGGTTGGGTTGATTTCAAGCATTGAGGCTCTATTGTACTTCAAACCCAGGAGTGTAGGCAATGTCCGTGTGACAGTGAGCAGCTTTTTCTCATATAACCCATGTTGGTTTCCTCGCAGGTTCTGGAGACGAAAAACGTCACTTGATCTGGAGCAGCAATTGGAGAAAATCAAGAGTTCCTACTCGACATTGCCTGGTAAGTATCACCACGCACGGCCACGAGCAGTTCAACTATATGGTAAGATCACTGTGTGTGTCAAGCCGTGCTGGCTTTGCCTTCAATTTGTTAACGTACATGTAAAATACATTTCTAGACAACTGCTTCCTGATCTTTTTTGATCCGAGACAGGTAACATAACTCGGAAGAAATCATTCGTACAGTAGGCCATATTGCGTAAGCTATTATGAAACCTCCAAACGATGCGGTCCCTCTCGAAGGGCAGGGAAAAGAGATGATCAGAACAACATACTGGTAATCCCATTTCTACTCATATCCAAGCCGAATGTCAACACCATGATCAGTTCAACACCATGATCCCAACCCAGACCCCGAGTTGGGGTGTCGGTTTTTCAAGAATCCAGTCTTGGTCGCGGCTTCAACAGACGTTTTTCCTTTTCTTGGCCGGCCTCCCTTCTTCTCCTTCTTCTTCTTCTTCTTCTTCTCCTTTTCGTGTTCTTCTTCTTCTTCTTCTTCTCATAAATCATGCATGCTTCTTCTTCTTCTTCTTCTTTCTTTCGTGGCCGTTCTCGTTTTACACCCCTGCCTCTACTTCGTACAACATCAAAATGGGCCGCTTCGAGCCCGCTGGGTGCAGCCGGGGCATCTGTGAGACGGACATCGGGGTTTGGAAAGTTGGCGGTGCAGATATCGGAGTTGGATCACCGCCACCATTCCCTTTCAGCCTTTGGCCCTGCTGTTGATAGTGTTGGTGATGTTGTTGTTGACGTTGATATTGACAGGGTGGTATCAAAAGAGGGGGCCCAGGTTCCGGTTTCGGCGTAAACGAATATTGCGGGAACAGAATTTCGGCGCTGGACAGGGAGGGCATGAAGGACATGAAGGATGTCTCTAATGCCGATCCAGTAGAAGGAGAAGGAGAAGTAGACCTAGACCTACTCCAGACAGACCCAGACCCAGACCCAGACCGTTTGCGGGAAGAATTGGAACCCGAACCCGATGAAAACTTGGACCGATAGTACGGATACGGATATGGGACATGCCCCTGGTGGTGGATGTCGGGATGAGATTGAGGAAGCTGGGTGTTCATGGTAATGATGGGTGGCTGTTGCTGTTGCTGTTGCTGCACATGCCAGATGGAATATGGAGTAACCGGTGCTGTTGTTTCCCAGCTGCACATGCTGGGAGGAGGGATAGTCGTCACAGCTGGATATGACGGAGAGAAAGTCTAACGAGGTTGTGCCCTATCCCTGGTTAGAGAACATGGGGAACTTGAAGGAGAAAGAGAGGGAGGAAGGCACGAGGAAATCGGCAATCTGATTCTGCTGAGCTGTCATATGATTGCCTTGTTGTTGGCTTCCGCTTGCATGGTTACACAGTCGTTCATCTACAACTTGATGGGTGTCGTCGAGGGTAACACCAGTTTTATGGGGGAGGGCGACCAAGGGGGCGTTGTAAACGGAGGAAAAGGGATCCATGTGGTTTGCTGCAGCAGTTGACGCCTGCTGAGGATATTTGTGCTGGGGCTGGGGCTGGATGCCAGGATTGGGCTGGCGCGAAGATTGCTGCTCCAAGTGTGGCGTGGATTTGGCCAACCCTTCCCAGTGACCGTGGCCGGTGTTCAGAATATAAGGCCGCAGGATGGGGAGGCCCGGTTCGGTCTCCTCCGGAACCTCAATGGCGGGGAATAATAGGCGCTTCCGCTCTGGGTGTTGATGGGTCTGGGTCATAAGGCCCACGTCTACTCCTCCCCAGTGGTCCGTAATCAGGGGCCCGAGATTCTTCGCCCAGGCTCTGAAGATGAGCCTGAGCTCATCGCCAGCGAAGTTGTTGACATTGATTTCGAATGACGGGACGTCCCTTCCCACGTAACTTTCCTCGTTCCGCTTCTTGAGATCAGCATAGACCTGGTTCCTGAACGCCCACATAAGCCCGGGGACCGTGGGCACAGGCAGGGGCATTCGGGGATTCTGTCTCTTCATAGCCATTATGCTGTTTCTAATCTCAAACATGCCGCACAAGTTGTCCCCGCCCGAGGAAGTCCAAAGAGAAACAAACTTGCCGTTGTCAAGGCAGGTGAGGAAATCATCAGCGGCTGCTTTGGCCCCTCCTTCCACGTTCATGTTGAGATCGAGATCATCCCTGGTGAAGAGCTGCTTGGGGATTAACTTCTCTTTCGCCCCAAAACCAATCGCGTCCGACTCCAAGAGGTCGATGGGCATTCTGGCTGTGTGGTCAGACATGATAGGAAACTGTTTGGAGGGGTTTTGGAGGAAAGAAATTGGTAGATGTAAATGATCCAAGGCAATGTTGGATATAATTGGGAAAGGATGACATTTGAGTGGTACGGGAAATGGATGTATGAGAAGGATGGCTTGGGATTGTTCAATGTAGCAGGAGAGGGGCTAGCTGGTTCCTATCAAGCAAGGTAGAGAGTCCGAAGGTAGCGGAGGGCAGGAGATTTAACTAAGGGGTAGCAGTCAAAGATATAGGGGACGGGGAAGGACAGAAAGAATATTAAATCAACAACTCCGGCATCCGGGAATTGAATATATAAAAATCTTGCATATTCATGCTGGTCGTTTTGCATGCATGCCTTTACGCCCGTCAGATATCTATGACTCCCAGACTTGCGGGAGCTCAGTCTATGGAGGCAAAACAAGGATTTCTTTGACCAAAGAGCAACCTTCCCAGGCAGAATAAATGGCAAGTATGGGTGTAGGTGCCCAAGAGGCAGTTGGGTCCATGCCTTGGCGGGTTATGTCGACGTACGGAGGGAAGGTGCGTTCCTATGTCATCCGCTCTGCTCGCCTGTCAATTTCAAGTTGACTTGAACATCCGTCATCTTGTTCGTGAGACCGCTCGACGGCATGCGCGTCCGTCTGGTTTGGTACAATCTATACTAGGGTACGTGATATCTGACTTCCAGGTTGTTTCGAGCGAACGCGCCGGGGAGGTGGATTTCTTTCATCACCTTTGAACGTCAAAATTTGAAGGTGACTTCTTTAATCAGTCTAGCTTGAAACTACTTCCACATGATCATTCCAGACAAATTTCCGAGATCCATACCAAAAGCGAGAATAAGTTGTGGAAGGACCACCCGAGGATACAGATGCTCGAAAGCGCGAGATGACGAGATCGTTCTGTCCGGACAATTTGCAGAGCATCAGAAATCGGAACAAACGCCGTGAATCTGGCATGCAGATCCTTGCTTTATGTCCAATAAAATTCATAAATCTGCTCTCTGCACGTCTATGTCGGTGTATGTAGCTGTGTGATGCATTATCGAGAGACAAGATGATCCGTGCTAGAATCCTTCCAGCCAGTCGGTTCCTGGGTCGCCAAAAAGGGGCAGCCAGATACGCCAAGGGTGCGACCTAGATGGTCTACTAACAATGCTCCGCGCTTTTGGGTGAGCTTGAGGCCGAGACTGCACCCGTCGGTGTTAGTGGAAAAACAGCCAATTTTGCACAAATAGAAGCCAGGCCACTTTCTTTTTTTTCTTTTTTCTTCGGGATTTCGGTCACCGCTTCAGGTCAGCCCGTCACTCACAGCCAAGCGTCATGTCTTCACACAATCTGAAAGGAATACTCCACGCTGCCGGACCAACATCGTTCCCAAGCTTCCGGCATCGCGCCGATTGGGCTCTCAAAAGGTGTGGCAGGTGTCTGTCTCTCTGACAAACCATCAGCCACGTTCGTTCACATACGCCTAGAAGGAGCAAGAAGGAAACTGTCTACAGCTATTATTATGTATTAATAAGACCGGTGTGTTTATATAGATATGTTTTGATTACTTTTTCTTCCCGGTTCAGAGCTCAAACTTGTCCCGTTTTATCCCACCGCTTCAAACAAGCTATTCCACCCGAACAAGGGATTTCGGGGGAAAATATTGACCAATATGACCGGTTTCGATCCAGCGAAGCACTTGAATAAAATGATTAAAAAAGCTCCCACAGAGACAGAAGATGCACATCATACATATCTACCTACCTACTCAACACATCCCGGTCTTGCATTTCAGACCTATGCATATATGCAAACACCTGTCCCGCCACTTTGGAAACCGCATTTGGCTGAGATTTCGCAATGCTCAACGTCTCGCAGCTTGTCCCCCATCCATTTTGTCCTGTCCTAACGGCGTGGGTGGCGTGGTCATAGCTCCCGTAGATCGTTTAACTTACATACACGTCCCGCCCGGTATCAGATAAGTACCCAAAAAGCTAATTCGATGTTTCCTAAGAACTTAACTAGTTTTTAGTTCCTTCCAACCTTCGAATGTCTCAGGACAATTTTCTCCTTCCACAAAAATCATTTGTAGACGATTATAATTGACAGGTCCGATCGTGGTCGGAGCCCGCCGGACACTCGGGTCCGAGTCAGTCAAGCAACAGTGAGTGGCAGGCGCGAAGCAGACATTGGAATTCGGATGGCCCGTGTTTCTGCCGGCCAAACTCACCTTGGACACTCGTTATTTCGGACACACGACCAAATCTTTCTGATCATTGCAGGTATCTGAAGAGGAGAAACAATGCATGGACTCTACGACATTAGTTTTAATTCTAGTTCCTCCATATGTTCTGAGTTGTGAATCCGAGTGCGCGAGGAAAAGGACATTTCACGTTCGGGCGCGCATCCGGACGGGGACAGGAACGGGCGGCATGCATCCCGTCGCCTGTTAAGGTAGGGTGGGCTTCTGTAATTTAGTGATTTGCCCTAACTTCCAGTCTCGGCTCCATTTCTGTCAGACCGCTACAGACGGGAGCCACGGCCACTAGCGGGCATTCTGCGCCTTCCCCGACTGATTTTCTCCTTTTCCACCCACGCGACGGGACCCGGTCCGGTTCTCCCGTCTACGGGAAAGGTAGGTATCTCAAGGTCTCGGCTGCCCATGACGGGACGTGTCTTCGAATCCATGACAATGGAATGACGAGAATGGAGGAGAGGAAGACACACAACAAAAAAAAAAAAAACCAAGTGTGCAGCGTGGTGTGGAGGTTTAATTCCACCATTTTGTCTTACCATGTCCACATCGCGGCGCCTCAACCTTAGAATTCGGGTCTCGGCCCCTACATCTTGTTACAATCAAATAGGAGACCACTTATATAAGCAGCTAGGTAGACCAATCGGGGCCGCGCCGGGAAAAACGTCGCCGCGGCCACGGTAAGGCGCCTTATTGAAGAACCAGTATAAAGGAAAGCCTTCCCAGGCCTTCCGAATACTGGGCTTTTCAGCAAGCAATAGCTTACACAATTGATGGGTACCTTTTGGCTACTACAACCGTTGTTCTATCTATCCCACCGATATACTCCTGTGCTCGTAACGGTTCGTCATACATCTATCTGTCCGGTCGATATCTCCAAACTACATTGACACTGCTCTACAGCACCTTTATAATACAATAACCACTTGTAGCATCAAATGTGCCGGGAAAGTATCGAGCAGAAATACCTCCAGCAAGTGTGCATCAGTCACTTGAAAGACCACAGGAGTGTGAATGGAGTGGGTACCATTGTGGAAGAATCTGTTAGTATGTCTTCTTTGCCTCCAGGAAAAGGGGTAGCGAACCCGTTGTTCCCTCAAAAAAAGATCAGCGACGCTATGTGAAAAATTTGATATGATAACTTTGCCGAACAGAGGGGATATAGTTCACTCGGATGTGCTCATGATTGTCAGGGCATCAACGCTGCAAAACAAATCATAGCAAAATCCATTCGTCACAAGGTATGTACCAGCTCAGATCCCGAGCCCCGAATCCCATCATTGGCATAGATATCGAACATGGCTAGAACGGAAACCAATGACTGGAAACCACCAAACACCGGACAAATGGAAAAAAGAAGACACCCAACACGGACTCGATGGCCCGTCCCGTCAATCGTATCGCATCTAACGCTTTAATTTCCCATTCCCAACCACCCTTTCTACCCTATCCCGCCCCGTTGACTGTCCCTCATTTACCTCCCTCCCGGACCAGTCCCGTTCATATCCTCTCGGCTCTCCGTAAACATGCTCCGTCTCGGACTACTCGTGGCCCCAGCACCTCCAGCGGCTCCCGGGCCGAGACCCGCCGTCGGCGGTGGCTGTGGCCGAACGCTCATGTAATCGTCGCTCCCCTCCGCTATCCCTGCCGTAGGCGGTGAAACCGGCTGCGGCGATCCCAGCGGCAGCGTACCGCCCATAGCGGACGTTGCTGACAAAGGGATAGGGATGTGGTCGGGCGCTTGCTGTCCACCCTGCTGATTGATATTGTGTTCCTCCGGGACGGAGGTGGGGGCAGGACTGTTGCTGAAGCGGTGGTTGCTGTTAATGTTGGGCGTGTACTGTCCGTTGTTGTTATGCGTCTGTCCCGAGGTCATGGAACTCACGGTTGCGTCGCTGATCTGTCGGAGGTGTGCCTTATCACGCTCGCTGACATTAGAGACGTCCGAGAGGGCAAAACCGCGGGTGGCTGTGGTGGTGGTTGGCGAGACCATGGGCGAGGGAATCTCTCTATTGGCCGACGCAGCCCCGGATGGAACGCTGCCCATCAATTCCGAGTCGGGACGAAAGTTGGTTGGAGCACCATCGACACCCTGCATATACGGTGGCAGAGAGGATGCAACGCCTCTGGATGAGCGGGTGAAGTTGCTCGCATGGTCCATCTGTTGTGTTGCTCCCGTGTAATACGATGGGTTGTTGAGGGAGCCATTTCCAGCGGTGTTAACTCGACCCACACTCGAGTGACGGTTCAAAATATCAACGTGGCTCAAACCAGTGTCGTGGAGTTCAGCGCGAGGCGAGGTATCTGTTCGAATAAGAGTTAGCAGATGCATTATATGATGGAGCAGGTTGATCTTACCCATCAATTCGACTGGAGCCGGCGGCGGCGTGATCTGAGTGTCCATCGCTTCGGCGATTGAAGGCGGCGGCATGGGCGACCCTGTGCTTGCCGTGTCTTGCATAGGACTGGGGCTGTTAGGGATAGTGCTGATTTCATCCGAGGTCGTGACGGTAGGAGCCTTTTCAGTGGCGTGCTGCTGGCCGCGCATCCATGACATAATTCGGTAGCCATTGGTATCTTCAGTTTCGGCTACACTAGTGCCAGCCCTCAATAACCTGCGGCGTCTCCAGAGGAGTACCAAGACAGCGATTATAGTCAGGAGCATTAGCCCAAGCACGACGCCAAGCACGGGAGGGAGCCAAGATGGTACACCCCCTGACCTTTTGTCATCGTCATCCGTAGCACCACTCCCAGGTGACGTCGGATTAGTGTTGTTTGATGGCGCTTCAGAGGCATATGGATAATATGTAGCGATCTTGGTCGTATATTTGGTGTCAAAGACTTTTCCAAGGTCTGCTGAAGCCCAGCCGTCGCTCGGTGCGCGTGCCGTGGCACCGCCCGTAGCAGAGCCACCGATCCTTTTTTGAACGGCCTCGGGAACACCATAGGACGAGTGCTTTGTAGGGTCATAACCCGATAGCCAAGTTCCGGTCGTCATGTTGAAAACCCGAACTAATTCAGGGAGACACGTTGGGGGTCCGCTGCTTGGCGTGTTTGTGTAGCCTCCAAGAACCAACATCTGATCGGGATAGGGCATAAAGCACTTGTGTCCGGCCCGGCCGCTGGATGTGCTTGATGTGATCTTCGTCCAGGTAAAAGAAGGTACGGAGAGCACCCAAACATCGTCGTTGAAGTCGTCGGTGACCTTGAGCCCCTCGTAGCCGCCATAATAATAGATGTTGAAGCTTGATTGGTCTTCCGCAGGTGCCACTACGGCACATCCGCGAGTAAGTTGTCCAGGGTTGTCGCCTGTCGTTGGCTGGCTGTACCACTGGTCGTTCGCGACATCGTATACATCGATTGTCGTCATAAATTTGGGACTTGTTGCCTTCTGTCACCTAGTTAGAGCCAGTGTAAGGTATGGAGATGAGGCGTAATACTAACACTTTCTGTCTCGTTGTCCGAAACCCCAGTTTTCACAGTGCTGGTAAAATCCGGGAATATGACACCTCCGAGAACGAGTAGGATACCCTTGGCGCCGACGGGAACCCAGACCAACTCAGGATTTGCTCGGCCAGATATTTCGGAGGGAAGCGTGCTGTTCTTCCAAGTTTCTTTCTGTTGATTCTTCATGTCCAATGTAATGAAGGAGTCGACTATGCGAATAGGGGATGTCGTGAGATTGGATGATGCAGTGTAAACGGGCCCTTTCGATGGTGCTTGAACGCCCGAAAAGTACCAAGCCAAATTTTCAGAAGGCGCGCTTGCCGCACCTCCAAACGCAATGTAGCGAGTGACCCCCGTGTTATCGGTATCCAGGCTGCTTTTGAACAGGCCTGGGCTAAAACCTGCCTTTTCTGGGCCGTACTGATACTGCCTGTAGCCAGAAACCAGATCTTTTGCGGGCTCAGTGTTGAAGGCGGCGGTTTTTCGGAGGAGGCCACCATAGGCAAACCATTCGGCATCATTTGCCAACAGAGCCCCGTCAACGTAGTTTGGGTCGTTATTGTTGACTACACTTCCGGGCGGGGCTTTATTCATGATCTTGAATTTTGCGGTAACGTTGTCTTTGATGTCGAAGGGAGTGCTGAGATTGAGGGTGAAGATACGACCATACTGATTGTCTGTGAAAATTTAGCCCAAACGTACCCTCACGAAAAGGGTTCTCACTAGCTTACCATCAGGAATCAAAGTCTTGAGAGACCCATCAGCCATGCCTGGAATCCACCACGTCCTCCCGCCATCCATGTAGATGGTGTCCCGGATGATAGCAGCTGGGTTCTGATTAGCGATATCTTTCACCAGGGAGATTGATAAAAACTGACCTCTTGGTTGTTGCCAGTAGCATAGTGTGGTGTTGACTTGACCCTCCTCCCAGAACGACTGGGCTTGGACAGAGATGATATAAGGGGCGAGGGCCAGCGCGGCCAAAACGTTGAAGCCCATGATGATTTAACGCCACCTGGCGACTTCCAACTTTTGGACGACGCAGGTGGGAAATATAGATAAAGCCGATATTGGGTGCGCTCGCTTGCAGGCACGAGGGTGCGATGAGGCCGTTAATGAACGTCACCAAGAAGTCATATGGGTGATGTCCCAATAGGTAAAAGGGTTGTTGCAGATGGGCGTAAATGTGTTCTATCGGGCGGGTTAGCGAAAGGAAGAGTAGTCCATTGCCACTACCTAGCTTTCGCAGAGTATGAGGCGGAGAAGAAGGTGTGAGGGGATCTCGATAAAAGCAGCATGGACATGCCCAGCATCGGATACCGCGATACACAAGATATGAAGTGAGCTTACCAGAACCTAGATCCCAACCCCGCACAATGGCGACCAATTGTGTGATGCTCAAAGGCTGTGGCAAAGCCGAAAAGCGGCCACGAGTTGGAATCGACGGGGATAGGCTACCGAGTGATGAGGATGCGGTTTCTCAGACAGATGGGTCTCTGCCACAGACGTCTCGTGAAGGAGACTAGAGCGAAAAGCGACTGCACACGCGTGGGAGCACGTCCAAGTGTGTACGGCCTCGTCGACGAGATCAGATATCGATACCAGATGCGCAAGGTTAGTAACGGCCGATATTACCCACCGCTTACTCTTGGTGATGCTCCTCGCGACCTGTCAGTCAGCGACACTGAGAAAAGTTGTGGCGAGGTAAAGGTTGGGTAGTGCTGAATTCTACACGAAATCTAGCACCCTGGCACGCCTTGTGGACTGGGAAGCCTCTTATTGGTAGGGGGCCGAGGAGCGTGTGCTGGTCTTGGAAGGTCTGTAAGACGGGCCCAGGCCAAGTCTGGGTGTAAGTCAAGGTTCCAACAGATGGTCCCACCCCAACCAGCAAGCTACCCATGCTTTTTCTCACCAGGAAAAAGAGGGTGGGCGGTTTCCGTCCTCTTTTAAGACCCTTTTAAGGATGGCCTCAGCCTTGTCACCGGGGATTGACGAGAGAGTGTGCAGGGTTGCCGGGGTGGATCAGGTCTGCATAGGTACCTGGGCTGCTGCGCACTGCGAACATGATGGGTATATCCGGGACCCTGATGGCTATATCACCGACATGGCCGCCTCTTGCGATGCAAGTAATAGATGGCAATGGTAGGCATCAGCAATCGCGCACCATGATAAGGTAGCCCTAGGAGTGACTAGAGGAGCCCCTAACGAACACGGAGGATCCGCTAAGGCACTGCCAAGCATTCTCAATGCCGTGGTGGGTGGAGGAACTGGTTTCTGCCAGCTACCTGTCCGATTTTCGAGGATTGAAGTAGCCAACGGATATGACAACATCGTAACGAATTTTCTCTTTTGTTGGAGCTTCTCTTCGTCCTGTCCGTTGCATGCTGTCCTATGAGAATGGGGGCGAGAATGACGATCTGTCCAACATCAGATGCATAACGAGCGTTGATGGCCGTGACAAGTGACCGTATTCCCACTTGGCGCAATGTCGACTTCTGCCGTGGACCGGACGGAATAGGTGATACCACCGAGAGGGAGGCAATCCCTAGAATGTACTCACCTACGTCGTGGCGTACCTGTTGAGAGAAGCAAACAAACACAGTGGCCCGGCAATACGGTCGAGGCGATCCGGATTCCAGAACCATGAGACAGGATGGCGGGAGTGGCCGCAAGGTTTGCTTCCGTCGGTTGGACAGACGCGCGAGAACAAAGTGAGCTATTGGCAGCATCTCTGCATATGGAGCATCGCCTCTCTGTCGCCATCACCATCCATCGTCTCATGGTGTTTGGGGTGTCTAGAGTGTTGAACTGGACCTGGCATCACATCGCTGCCAATCACGATAGCCGTGGGAGTGCTAAAGAGTGCCGAAACGAGGTGGAATCATGATTAGCCACCATTGAGATTTCATGATGATGGAGGTTACACTTCGTTGACGCATCGCTCCGAACGACGAGATCGGGGAAGTGTGAATACGGGAAGATAGATACACTGGCAGTGGCAGCTTGATTGACTGATTGGGGTGCCCGCCCCCGGCCTCTCTGCCCTTCAAGTTGCATCTGGAGGGGTCGCTCCGGGCAAGAAAGGTCATTCAAGCATGTTGGCCAGTCCAGAGGGAGGAAGGAACCTTTTGTGGTGAGAGTTTCGTTGTTGCCAATTTCCATCTGCAGGAGTGCGCAGCAAATACGACGGCACCTTCCCATAACGGGCAGGCATCTATTTCTCACCAAAAGAAGTTGACTGCAAAGCGGGGACTGGTACCTGCTTGCACCTGCTGCTGTTATCTTGCCATTGTGAAGGAAGGCATGGTTGTACTTTCTCGGCGTAAGCTGACACGGTCCGGACGGAGAGATTGTGTAAGAGTCCCGGTCGTGAAAGGTAGCGAGGAAGCCACAGCGCGCAGCCTTCTCTCCCTCCATCCCGCCTTTTCCCATCATGAGGTCCACCAAAGCGAGGACTTCCTTTGTGTGTAGTGGCGGAAATTGGAGCCCTCGATTCCATCGTCGCCGGTCAAACATTCTCTTCATCTTAACATTCAAGGGAGGATTGGCAAGCCTGCAATTCCCTTGCCAAGAAGAGACGATGAGGCGACTGATGGAGAATGACCTGGATGGCATTGTCGCAGGCGGTGGTTTTGCTACGGCGATTTTAAGGTCTTAGGCAGCCCACACCTGCGATTTTTGCTGCTGCATCTGTCAATATTTGGTGATGTCGTGAAGGCTTTCATTGGGGCAGGTCGCGCAAGAAGCGGGGACGATGCCGTTGGGACGTGGTTGGCGGTAGGGTTGGAAGCCGCGTTGGAAGCTATTGCCAGATCGGGCGTCGTTCATTTGGTGCTTCGCGCTCACCCATTGATCTCGGCCCTACCCCACATTAGTCTGGACCAATCATACAAGGCCATGTTCGACGTGGACCGTGCAGGGGTAGCTCTTTCCGTCCCCGGTTTGCTTCCCGCTCACGACTGGGTGACTGTCACTCACAACTGCCCTCACACTTCAATTCTTCGCAGCAGCTCGGTCGCAAATCTGTCCAGTCTTGGCTTGTTCACTTCGTGGGTCAGTTGCTGACTGTGAGGCCCTGCGACCCAACAAGCCTCGACTCCAAGGGCTGGCAGCTTGTTCCTCTCCTCGACATCAGCTCCATCCTCCACCGGCCGCTGTCATCAATCATCACTCTCACCCACTCACAAACCGTGCCACCACCGCCTCTTTGCTCTCCCTTTGGTCGACTCATCTCTTGTTCGCTTTACACCGTTGCGCTGTGGTCATCCCGACGGCATCTTCTCCAGTCAGGTAATCTCCCGCATGCGCTGCTAGGGTTACGGTGTTAACAAAGATCCCGCCGTGTCCCTTTGCATTCTTTTCTCTTCTCGCCCTCGTTGCCGGCCCGGCCACTTCGTCGCACTGGCTCGGAAGGTACCTTGGGACCCTGGCACTGAAATCCTGGACGTTATCACGGCGGGGATTTCTAGTACCTGGCATTGCCGTACAGACTTCAGCAACGGACCTGCTTTTCAGCACGTGTTCAACAGGCATTTAGCACCTCATGAGCTGATGCTCCCTTGTCTCGATGCTCACAGAGTTCAATAGCAAACTGTCGCTGAGCAATTACTTACATATCATGACAACAGCCTTCTGCCATTCTTCTTTCAGCCTGTGCGCTTGTGGCGCCCTTCAATATCACCAGTGCCGGGTCGGGACTTTCCAGACACGATGGCTCTGCAGACAGGCGAGATATCGGCGTGCCCGGATGATGATAGGCATTAGACTCAACCCGTAACTCTACTCACACTCTCTTCGGGATCAGCTCCAGGATTTCGCCTCAAGGACCAGTATGATCGTATCCCCGGAGAGCTTGGATGAGGCTCTGGTTTTTCTGTACGAAATCAGTTGCAATAAGGACAATATCATGCCGTCCGATATTATCACCTCATAATGGTACACACTGGCCCTTTTTCCCGAGCGACCTGCTCGAACCAGCCCGCCATCTCATTCTCCCGCCATGCAGTGTGGCTCAAGCCGGACGCCGTGGTTGGGACTTGTCTGCAGTGCGGACGTGTTCTACCTAGGTGGCCAGCCTGCTCAACTAAGAGCCAGTCAACACAGCCAGATGGTCTCGCAGCAGTCAGCAATACGGGTCCCACGAAAAAAAAGAGAAAAAAGAGGGGTTTTCGGCCACCATTGCGGCCTTTGGCTCTTGGTGTGGTTGCAGTCGCCCACGTTCTCACCTTCGTACTCCCTGATATGGTTCTCCCCCAGAGACATCACCCGTCCTGATTCAGAACAGAGTACCGTGCTACCGGCCCGGAGACACCTGTGCGCTACGGTAAATATCCCATGGAGCTTCGGGTGAAGTCAACTCAAAACCACCTGCCGTTGCTGGAACTAGTTGTGTAGCCGCAAATTGCGCGTTCCTGCTTCTTGTCTCGTTGAGGGATTCGCCTTGCCTTTTTGTCGTTAGCAGCCCCCTGGTCAACTATTCCCCTCGGCGGGCCTTCCGTCCGTCCCTGGCGCCCCTAGCAACGTTGGGTTTGCTTGGCTCGAAAATCGTTGCCCCGGACTTCGGACATCCTGGTCAGGCAGCTCGCTCAGCCCCCTGGGCGCATCCTCAGTGCCCCAGCCTGCCGTCTTGCACAGTTACACAAGCTCCAGTCTTTTGTCAGTTTCTTTCTTGTCCCTTCTGCCTCTGTCATCATCGCCAAAGCTCGTGGCTTGTTGCCTCCCTTTTTACCAGCCTTCAACTCACCTTTGCGCTGACAAACAAGCCCAATGCTCACAGTCAGGTCAGCTCGCCCACCTTGGATGTAACCAGGCACAATCATGGTAAAGTTAACAATCATGGGATCACTCGCCTGCTTCTTTCTGCTCCGTTGTCAAATCGTCATTTGGGGCTCCCGCGAGATCGTATGCTGAGCTAGATCAGTGATCGCCAGCCCAGGCTTTCGTCAGAACGCGTCGTATTCTTCCTTGAAATCTCCTTCCTACCTACATATCTGTCCAAGGTCCAGCTCGGCAAGAGCCTAGTCCCTTGATGCCGAGCACGGTTACATTGGCTAGAAAGGGCCGGCCGGGCTAGTCTAGGCCTATTTGCTATTGGATTCCCGCCTCTCGGGCAATGATGCTCAATGGGTGGTTGTGCCTGTGGGATGTGGCCATGCATCCCCGCGAGTACGCCGTAGGGAAGCAGAGGAGCACGGTGGAGTAGGGCAGCACCAAATTCGGAGCTGTCGAGACTTTCCCTCTCAATTTTCACCTACTCGCCCGCCAACGAGACCTGCAGCGTATGCTCTTGGTGCCATGCATGTGTGATCGTCGTTTTTTCTCTTTTTCGACATTTATCAGTCAGCCCTTTGGTGCCCAGTTGAGTCTTCCAAGCGGAGGACTATGATCGAACGGGGTAAAAATAAACATACAAGAAAAAGTAAGCCGGTCTGGCTTTCCCTCCTGTCCGCACCGTTGGAGCCACACCGCACCGCATCACACCGAATACATGGGATGGGATAGGATAAGATTCCTCTGCAGACGAGGGTGATGCTTGCCGAATAGTGCCCTTTTACGCCATTGGTTCACCTTATTTGGGCTTACCCAAAAGGTTGCCTGGTCCCCCAACCTGCCAGGCCTTTTAGTTCCCACCAGCCTTATATCATCGGCCAGTGCCGCTGCCGCACCCCATCTCCGTCGTTCGTGTTTTTACGTCAAGTCTTCCGGTGTAAGCTTCAATTGTTGCGACAGCTTCACACTCGTTTTCCCTTCCGGAGACCCGACCTCACTCGTTGGCCCGCTAAACTTACCCGGCTTGACTTGACGGTCTCTTTCAGGCAGAATGCTTGTTACGAGGGTTTTGGGCACGCTCGGAGCGTTGGCCCTAACTCAGCTCGTCTCCGCCGCCGAAAGGCCGCTTTACCGCAGGTTCAACACCACGGAGGCCTCGAGCGTTGCTCCCGTTGAGTCTCTTGCGCCTGAAGAGAGCTTTACCGCTTATCATGGTGGTGATGAAGACTATGGCCCTGATCACGATAAGGGTTTTTGCAAGAAATACGGGCACGATTGTCGCAAGTGCGTCGAGCCAATTGTGTAAGTGAACAATCTATTAGCAGTCGCTCGGTCCAAAGCTAACTTTTGACAGAGTCACGACCACCAAGTAGTATGCTAATCCTCTTCTTTGGATGAGAGGAGATATCAGTCTAACAGCATACCAGCATACCTAAGCCTGCCTCTACCTCTACCTGTACGGTGACAGTCACACAATCGGTAAGTTATTACCGGGCGCAGCGAGATATAAACGGGACCAGATACCTTCCAATGTACTCTGCTCGCCTTCGAAATTACGGGTTACTCTAAAACCGCGGAGGCACTCTCGCTGCTGTACCTCAACCCCTTGTCTTCTTGGTCTCCCGCACACTTGGCAACTGCATTCATTGCTGACTGGGATTGCAGTACACAGCAACGGTTACAGCTCCTAAGGAGACAGTCACCCACACTGGAGTCGTAACGGCAACGGTGGTAGAGACAATCGTTCACACCTCAACCGTCGAAGAAACTGAATATGTACGGCTGCTTTACCCGTTTTTTTCTTGACTAGTTAGCATGCTGATTGATATGTTCAGCTCACGACCACCCTCCTCGACACCAAAACGCTTACTGACACGGCCATCGTGACCTCTGGATACACGGAGACCGCTACCGACTACGAGACCATTACTACGACCACTGTCTATACAACAGTAAGTTTGAGTATGATCGTGAATCCATCAGATGCATATGACTAATGGCTTTGCAGAGCTACCCAGTCACTACAACAATTAGCATCTGTAATGGGGAGGATCACTCTTCGTATTGTGTTGTCAGCACGACGACTACATGGAAGACCACCACCGAGACCTCGGTCGTTGAGACAACGGTCGAAGTCGCAGTCCCGACAACAGTTCCAACAACCGTTTACATCCCGACGACAGAAGTGGAAACTGAGACAGTCATTCACACTACGGCGATCTCTGTCCCGTATACTGTGATTGACAGTACAACCTTCTGGTCCACCATTGAATCGACTTACACAAGCATCCATGTAGGCCTTTGGTTCTCTGATTGTGAATTAAAAATAATTAATGTTAACTAACGTTTAATCCAGACCATCGAAAAGACAACGACTAACTATGTTGAGGTTATCTGCACTACAACCACCACGGAAATCAGCTCCTACCCGGTTACGGTGACGGGCACCAAGACGATATGGACGACCGACTACAACACAATCACGGACACTTATACCACGTTGGTTCCGACCACGACAACGGACGTCGTAACTACCACCGATGTTGTGCTTAGCACTGTTGTCAGTGCTACGACGGAAACAACAACCTTCACCACGGTGACTTCTTACCCGGTGACTGTTACCGATAGCACTACTTTCTACACAACCGAGACGACTGTAGTCACTTCTGTTATTGTCAGCTCTTACACCACCGTTTCGACTGTCACCGATCGCACGACCGCGACCGAGGTTTTCACTACGACCGCAACTGTCGTTCCGCCTCCCATCACAACAACCGTGTCTGGCACTCCCATCACCATTACACTCCCTCCAACGATTGTTACGCAGACCTTGGATCATACTATCACTCAGACGGAGCATACGGTCTCTACTCTAACGCTCCCAGGAACAACAGTGGTGACCACCTTTACATCAGCTGCGCCCCCCACCACCACGACGTTGACCCTTGATGGAACTACGATTACTACCACCCTGCCCGCTTCTACGGTAACGAGCACGACGACCTTTTCTGTGCCCCCTCAAACCATCACGCAGACGATTACCAAGCCACCCTCGACGATTACTATTGCCACAACCGTCACGAGATCGATCTCGACTTGCTACCCCACGGAGACCGTCGCGCCCGCCCTTCGAAAGCCGTACGATCCAAAATCAGACCTAACATGGGGTTGCAAACCTGGATTTGTTTGCCACAAGCCGAAACCACAAGGTTGCAACTTGTGGGCCGACGCGCCGTCCGATGATTACACGTGCGAACCGCACTGGTGTAAGCCAGCTCCTTCGCTTCCTAATGTGACCTGGCCAGAGAACGGAACTGGTTATTTCCCACCAACTGAAGGGTATTTCTACCTCAATCCCAATGCGTTCGGTTTGAGCGACGATATCTTTGAAGAGGAGCTCATCATTGTCGAGGTTGGCGGTGTCACGTCAACTATTACCACCGGTAACTGGGATGTCCAAACCGATTTAACCTGGCCTCCGCCGCGCCCGACATCAACCAGGTCATCGGCGGCGGGATATGGATGGAAGCGCGGCCTTCTCTCGAAACGGGTAAGCAGTAACGATATCGCAATCTGTTACGATGAATGCGCGGATGCCTTCCTTGAAGTCCAGCAAATTGGTAAATCGCTGGAGATTTGCGACGAAACCTCGCCTTTCAAAGAATACCTCAACAAATGCCAAACATGTGTTGATGATAAGCCGGAAAGTACCGACAAGAAAAACGCCAAGGAGTATCTCGCGCCGATATGGGATCAATTCCTCGGTTGGTGCAAAGAGCAGACCCCTTCACCTGCCCCATCGGACCCTCCCCCACAGCCGGTCGAGTCTGCCACTCCCTCGATCTCCACAACTTCGCAGGAGGCAGCTAACCCAAGCATTGCGCCCGTACCCATCTCAACCTCGTCTTCTCAGCCAGCTCAGGAGCCTTCCACCACGACTACCTCCATCGTCCCTCCTCCATCCTCGAGCTCTTCTGCTCAACCATCCCCAAGTGAGCCAAGTTCGTCTTCTGAGCCGGCCTTGCCTTCTTCTCTGCCCCCAATTTCTATTTCCTCGGCAGAGCCGGTGATCTCTTCCTCATCCTCCTCATCTGCTCCTCCACCACCCACTTCTTCTTCTACGGTGGTGGCAGTTTCCTCTGAGCCGGCGGTCGTTTCGTCAACTCAGTCTCCTTCTCAGCCGCCTGTTTCTTCCTCTGAATCGGTGGCTATCTCATCTTCCGCGGCATCGGTTCTCTCGTCTTCTTCGGAAGTCCTAACCCCCTCGTCTTCAGCGTCGAGCACGGCTGTCCCTGAGACTTCCTCAACAGTCTCGACCGCGCTGTCTTCATTGGCGGAATCTTCGACGTCAACCGTATCGTCGACCTCGGCTGTATCATCCATTGCAGTTGTGTCATCCTCGTCGTCGTCTATCACCAGATCATCTGCAGTCGGGGTGTCGTCCTTCACGGCCACTTCCACCAAACCTGTGGCGGTTTCGTCGTCTTCCGCATCGGCGTCGTCGCTGCCCTCGGTTTCAAGCATCGGGCCATCGACCACTGCACCCGGTAACGGCACTGTCAGTGTTTCCGGCACAACAGGCTTCGTTACCTCGACTGCCCCACCGTTAAGCCCCTCCGCCCCCGTTACTGCAGCGGGCAATGTCGCTCAGTCGCCATCGGTAGCGGCTTTGTTGGCTACCATCTTGGCAGCCATCCTTTTCTTGTAAATACCATTATTCACGGACAGGGAAGTTTTTCCGTTTTTAATTCCCTGTTTGAGCCTTTTAATACTTTCCCCTTTTGGATCACCATGGATCAATGAGTGGATTGGATTTGGATAGGAAATGGAAGTGTGGCGAACGGGCAAGACACGATCTAGTGTTTAATCTGCTGAAAGAGAAAGGAGTCGTGGTTGGTGTGTGGGTTCGTGTCCCGGGATGCTCGTTCTAGAAGTTCCTTCGCTTCTTCGCTCCCGGTGTTACACATCAACGCATACTTCTGGAGAGATAACGGGAGGTGGGACATGTATATGTGTACTCCATTGCGCGGATGTATGTACGAGTGGATACGGATGCAGATGCGGACGCGGCCGTTGCCGCCGTGGGGATGCGCATCGTTGAAGCTGTCGGAGGCTTTTAATGAATGAAAGGACCAAAAGGAAAGGGATGGAACGATTCAAAGGTTGGATTTGAGAGACATTACGAATTCACGACACTCATTTACACGACGGTACATAACTTGGCACGAACATGAAGGGGAGGGAGGAAAGATTGGTTGATTGATACCCTTGTTGCTAACTTGCTTGCGGATACACTCCTTTGGTATAATGGACAATGGACATAATTGGAAATCGTGGAAATGGATAGCTTGTCTTTCAGTGATTTGTGACCTTTATTCTCTATTCTCTTCGCGGGTGTGGGTGCGGGTGTGGGTGCGGATGTCCGACCTTTGGAGGTACAAACTTCTTTAATAACGGCGTCGAGGATGTATCACAATCACGCGACCAAACCCCCTTGAGTCTTGCAGAACCAATGTAACCCAGATGTTACGGTCATTGAAAAGAGAGAGAAAAGAAGCCACCGCGTCGTCAAAAGGTCACGTACAGGGTTTTCCTTTCACCAGGACTACAAACAAAAAGAATTTTAAAAAAAATATAAAAAAAGGAATAATGAGCAAAAAGTGAATGGCGGGGAAAAGAAAATACAACACCTGGGATTCGCTGGTCGTCACCGACCCTACTACTAGGTAGGGATGACGATAATGATCAGGGAGAGTCCTGCGGGTTCACTGATTCAAGCGCGCACCTTCGCTGCCGCTGACCAAAAAGGAACAAACATACACACGCCAGCTTGGTTGAAGAAAGGGACAAAGTCACCTCCAGGTTCCAACCACGGTTACGTGCAAAGGTTTCTAAAAGGGAGGAACTATGTTGACCTAGTAAGAAGATGACAACCACCCGGGCTCGCGACCTAGAGTACTTATCCCAGTAAATTTAGGTATGTTGGACGGGACATGGAGTTCTCTTGCTGTTCAGAAACCGAGGAGACTGATGCATGATTTCATGCGTCAAGGTAGTGGCACCTCTGCCAGCCGGCAGGTGCAGTCAAACCTGCATCAAGCATGGTTGACAGTCGCCTACTTAAGGCCCTGTCATCAACCTTGATTGACGCAGGCCTCTTCCCTCCTACACATTATAATCAGAATCAAGCGGTTTGGCATTTCCATCTACGCCGGGCCTCTCATGAATAGACGCATCAGAGACCGTGGGGTAAAATTTGGTCACAAACGCTAAATGTCGTCGAATTCAGTGTACATACCAAGCTTACAAGCGCGATGGGCGGACCTTGTAAACGTCTTCGAGAGTCTTTGGCCACGGCGTGTCCCACAAGTTAAACGACACTGTTGTTTACACTACAGTAAATCGTGAGCGCCGAAAAAGGGGTTGGTAGGGTGAAAATTGAGACGCAAACTTGATGACCACAAAGCAAAATTCCGTATTGTTGTCTGGCCGTACAGAAGGAGACTTTGCTTGTGAAGCCAGGTTCTGAGTCCGGATACTGAATCCAGATACTATCCACCCAACTGGAAAACCTGAGCTGAGGGAGACTGAGGCCCGACACTGGGTCTCAGCTCGTTACAACAATTATCTGCGCATTTCAACAAAATGCAAACCTTTGAAAGATGGCTATCGATGAGGTGAAGTGACTTCTCATCTATCTAGGTAGCTATATATACGAAATCGCAATCAAGAATGACAAAAAAGTGTAAAAAAAGGATAAAAGCATGATCGGTTGTTGGAACCTTCAGAGGCTCTAAAAGACAGAAAATAGTGTTTCCCTCTGGCCAAGATAACCCAGTCCCAAGAGAAGCACTGCAGAAGTACCCGCGTTCCAAGCCAAAGATCTAGGAAGTGGCCCGGGTTGACACAAGGTCCTCGCAGCACTCAAAGAGGCCCAACACCCACAAGAGCACGCACCTTCTTAAGTGGCCAGCTTAAGAAACACGCCCTTATGGACAGACACTCCTGATATGACAAGCCTAAATGACTAGCATGATATTTCTTCGGAAACAGGAGTTCGAGTCCACTCACAGAAGTGCTTTTTCTTTATACCAGACAGCTAACTGCCTTAGCTGAGGTAGCTGGAGAGCTGGCGGAACTGGTCGTCCGAAAGGCCCGAGTACTGCATGCAGGCTGAGCCGCAAGGAGTAGGACGAGGGCCCTCGCCGGTGCAGGAGCCCGACAGAGCCACAACAAGGTTCATGCAGGCGGGCGGAACATTGTCAAACTTGCCGACTGAATTTAATAAATGTTCTTCGTTAGCAAACGTACCAAGTGTGAAGGAATCGTCCAGTAAGTAAGTCACTTACCACCGGCGGAGGGAATCGAGGTTTGAACCTTAATTCCCCGGTTGGCCTGGTCGCGGAGCTGATTGTTGCAAATGTCGAAGTTGTATTTCGGGACATTGCAAGGGCCGACGTCGGCACGGACGTTCATGATGGGCGCAGCCGCAAGGTCCGCGGGGAGATCGCGCTTGTTGACACAACCCTTTCCAGGGTGCTTCCTGCAATAATCGGAGATTGAGCCTGCAAAGATGCCGGCAAACATGATTTCAACGACGTGGGCAATGGCGACGATAGGCATTTTGGCTGATGAGGAGGAGTGCTCGATGGTTGGTTGTAAAAGAGGTGTGTGTGTAAGCTGGAAGGCAAGGATAGGAGATGGTGCTGTTGCGATGTGGATGTCTTTCGGCTGATGGACTTGATGAGCGGATTACAAGCCCCTTTTATATCTCGAACGTCGGCTCCCAGGCATGTCGTTAGAGGACTGATACAAACTGAGGCCTGGTACCTAGAGACGTCTAGCGACACCACACTTCTCGATCACCAACGCCCGTCTGACAATTACCCTGTCCAACGACAAGTTAAATCTCATTTACCTGAAGTTGTCTTCAGAATCAGCTCATCCACACCCTTTATCGGGCAGGTGACAGTCATGGTGAAGCTGCATTGTGGTTAGGACCAACTGTCCCGGCCATCATGCTTCCACGAGTCGCAGACTCACCGCTGAGTCCGATTACCAACAACCCGTCGGAGTATCACCCTGCTCATCAACATGGCATGGAAATGTTATTTCCCAATATTGTCTGTAGGCTTGTCTGTCTTGAAACGGGCAGGTGTCAGTCATGGTGAAGCTGCATCAGCACTAAGGACCAACGGCCCGTGTCTGGTCATCGCGATCCACGACTCGGAGACGCAGTTGTATTCCTATGGTCATATTTGCATCTAAACCCGTGATAGAACGTATAGCTCTATCATTAGTCAAATTTCGCATTAAGGTTATTGGTTGACCAACTGCGGTTGTCGCTGATGTTGCTCCCTGCTCGGTTTCGATTGTAGAGGTATCATGCCTCACAGATGCCATCCTTGTATGACAGAGGAGGCGATGCTAGAACACAGCAAGAGAGTATTCAACTAATTCTTAGGACTGGAGGAAACCTCCTACAAGCAGATGGGTTCTGTGTCTCACTGCATTGCACCCAGTGCCGAAGGTAGGTGGCGAAGAGTTTGTACGTCAACTACGGTTTACATGGAGTTGGACCTACATGTAATTGGTTGGATTATAAGATAGTAGCAAAGTAAATAACCCCTTAAGAGGCTTTTGTAATAGTAACCAAAAGAAACACCAATCAAGACGTTTGGTAAGTGAATAGGAGAGTGGACTTCGGCTTCAACATTCGAGAAATGGGGAAAAAAGAGCGCTCGCTAGAAGGAAGTATCAAACTGGCAACGACGAGAAAGACCCCGACAGCGATAACCATTAAATTACCGGCCCAGTTCATGGATGGGGTTTTGATAATCCCACAAGCACCTACCTGACCCATTCACCTTGTCTACAAGGCCGTAAACCTCAGAGTGTCCCGAGCCTTCGAATCGTACGAGAAGAGGTCGCAGTAGGCATCCAAAGTCTTCAAGCGATATTTTGAGTCCGAAGATTGATGTTATCATTCACTCTATCAGAGTCCCCTACCATCCACTTACCCTAGCCGCCTCACCGCCTTACGCAATGGTTATGCTAGACACTACTCTTTGTTTCAAGTCATCACCCGACACTCACTAGTGGTGTGACAAGGGCAGTGTTCTG